ATAATTCAAAATTTTGCCTTCATTGTATAGAAGCAATGTTTTACTTCCGTATTTCATATTTTTTCCGGTTGAATATGATGGAAGAAGCAATCATCGTCTCAAATTTCATAAATTGTTCCTCTTTTTTTTTCCCCAAATCTGGACATCTCTCATTTTTTCTTATTTTTTTTGTCTTTCATTTTTTTTCTTTTTTTGGATGGAAGAAAAAGTGAGTTTTTTGATGGAAAATAATATTCTTGAAGAATATCTTATAACATCACCGTCGGTGGTCATTAATCCATTATTGTTTAATTCTGGAATTGCCTCGAGCTACTATCTTTATTCTATCTCACTGTTAAATTATAACTTTGTGCCTTTATATTGATTTGTTAAATTAAATGCAACGAAAAATTCAAATTGAATGAAAGTGAATTTGAGCTAGATGGAATTAATGAAATTTCAAGTGTAATTAGAATTTTTGAAAACTTAACTGATTGCCTTTTATCGATGATGAAATGACTGCTGGATAAGTTTGGTTTATGAATGATCATAATATTGTCAGCGGAAAAAGAAACCTTTGCGCCTCACCGAATGACGGTATGATAATAGACAAGCTGAAGTTTTCACAACTGTTCCAACACTCAATATCGCACATATTGAAAAATAATTGCTCATCAACTTTCTAAACGAGCTATTTTTTCATGTTAACTACTTTATTCAATTTTGTTCGTTCACTTTTGTTCTACTGCTAATCAAGTTATCGATGGATGCTTAATCGATAAGCAAGTAATCCATTAGATAAGAAATTTCGATTGAAAGATGGAATAATTTAATGTAAATGGAATGATCTCACCAATGTGTAAATTTTTAAACTGTGATCTCTATGCTATTAATCAGAAGCTGGTAATCTTCTAAGAATATCGAGTGATATGATATAGTGATAGATAATCCTTATTTCATCATTTCAATCTTTTGTTTTGTACAAACACTCTACGTTAAAGATGATTTCAATTTCTTAGGAAGTTTCTCTTGAAAAGAGAGTAAAAATTTATAATGAAAGAACAAAATGAATTGAAGGAAGGGAATGAGAACTCGTACAATTCATCAAAAAGATAAGTTAATTAGACAATAATTAAAAGATCATATTTCAACAGCATATGCTCAGAAAGTTGCGCATAAATAAAAAATAATAATTAGCAAATTTGCGGGAACTATTATAAAGATGCCATCATTTCTTATTCGATAAGACTGATCTAAACTAACGATTGTCTTAACAATGAATAAATTATGCAAAACTGCTTGATAATCAGTAATATGGCTGGCATATATCCTTCGATTGTTTTGTTTTCACTGAATATGAATAATTTATGGAATGAATAGTGATGGAAGTCCTGATAACAGCTGATTTTATCTGCTGTCGTTATCCTTTTCCCAACTGATTAATTTTGTTGTACAAAAGGAAGGACTTTAACTAAACTTTGATGGTACAATGTTTTATCTCACCATCCGTTTCTGTGTAAATTGGTGTTCTGATATTTTTGTTTTTCGATTTTTTAGCTTCGTTTCATAAAAAGTACATAGTTTAAATTTAAAAAAAAAAGAATTAGAATAATTACACATATATTATCGTACTTTTATCGTTTTTATTGTCGGTTTGACCCTATATTTTGAAATCTTTTCATCGGAAAAAAGCTCTTTGCTAAAGTTTTTAATTTATAAAAATTGAAATCACCATTCTAGTAGCTAGCATTAAAACAGTAACAAATGGTATTAATAATGCATAATGCCTATGAGAAAGAAGCCTTAGGATATATTTTGAGCGGTATAGATCAAAATATTACTATTATTATCATTTACTACTAATCAATCACCCAGCCACCGCCATCCAATGCTCAACAATTCAGTTTTGGCGTAGCGGCAAATGCTTTACAAGCCAATTGTTAGGATCGTAAATATTACGAACTGACATATCCAAACGACAGAAAATGAACCATCCATAAAGATCCCCATAGAAATTGCTAGAAGCAATCTCTCCCCGAATCAGTTCGAAACAAAATTTTCATTTTGGAAAAGTTTATGAATTATTGAACCCCTTAGTCATCACTGTTACTTTTTTATACCTTGAATAAACATAAATCTTAGTATTATAAATCTTTCTTTATGTAATTCAGATATTTGAATATCATGTTGTCTTTGAATTATAGAAATTATGAAATTTCGTTCCAGTCGAAATTATAGAATTTAAATTATTTAGTTTCATGTTTTATTTCGATCAGATATAAGAATTTTTATATTTTAATAATATTTTAATAATATAGAAAGTTTAATAATGCGCGAAAAGTTGTGAAAAACCATTTTCGTGATACATAGCATTATTTAGCCGCTTTAGGCCAATATTTAGTGGTTCCGTTCTTTGAAACAGATAAAATGTCGCGCATGCGACAAATACATGACAAAATATATAATTTATAAATCATAAAAGTTAATAAGCAATTAGTTTTCTTTCTTGCTTTCTAATCATAATGTATATACTCAACCAACTATCTTTAAGGTCTAATCACAATTTTCTACTTTACTATGCCTTCTAAGTTAGGGACAAAACAATTTGAGCTTTCCAATCAAAATCACTACATTTTTGATCAAATTTAAATAAAGTTAAATAAAGTAAAATTGAAAATTTCAAAGTGACACACTCACGTTCATTGAATGATTTCCATTCTTCTTTCTCCCTAAAATCCGATTTGAATAAGTTGAATAAATTTAAATAATCAAAATTAAATATTATCACCACATAAACAAATTATAAGAAAAAGCTGTTCGAAAAGTAAATAACAAAATGAAAAGTGAGGGCCAAAGAAGTAAAATTGATAAAAGATACTTACACTTCAATAATAAGCAAAAAAGTAATGAAAGATCGTGCCGTAAAATTTATACATACAGATGAATGAAATATGCAGATGGCATTAACTGCTTAACAAATAGGACCAATGGTAACGAACAAACAACCAATTAAACCAACAACAATAACCAATCAAACAAATGAATAGGCAAACTGATTAGGTGGAACAAATAGAATTTGAATAAGCAAATAAATAAATGAACAAGTATTTCAGTGACCGATTTGACTGATTAAAAAATAATTACCTAGTAAATCCAACAGAATATTCGACACAAAAGTAACAAAACAAAACTTTAATATAAATTCAAATAATCACTTACTTCTTTAAAGTTTAATTTTCAGTCATTCGGCAGAAATCCTTTGATCTGAGAGAGAGAGAGAGAGATTGAAAGAAGAGAGAGAGAGAAAGGGGGGAGACAAAAGGAGAGAGAGGAACACAAAAGAACGCGCACGGTAGTTAGTTGCATGTGAGTGAAGATCACAACCGATCGAACAAATATTTAATCCACGGAATTAGCGATGAGAAAGAAAAAAGATGCTCGCAAGACAAAAGAAATGATTAACATTGTCGTCGTCTGGAAGGATGGCAAATAATAAATGCATAACAGTAAGAATATAAAAATAATTATACATATTAATTTATCAAAATACAGTTAGTAAGACACGTTGCTTGCTGCAAAATATCTTTTCATCTTGTTGAAGATTTTTTAAATTAATTTTTAGATTTCTCAAGACAAAAAGTAGTGATTGGCATTAACTAATGTTTTTCTACCTGACTTTAACAACGGATGTCAAGACGCTAAAGAAATAAATTTTAATTCGGATATCACATTATTCTGATGACACGATCACAATGCATTCGGACCATATCGGCTATGATTTCCTCACCACACTTAACAGTAAGCTTATTTTCTAATTTATCTGTATATATCTAATAATCTTGATATGCTATCCAGATTGTAATTTTGGCACTTTATCTTGTTCCATTATTAAATTAGTTCCTTAAACCTCTCGTATTTTTAAGATAAAGATCTACAAAGAAATATGAAAATAGATTAAATGAAATATTCCTCAATTTAGTAAAATCACATTTCAAAAGTTAAAACTTAGACCTTAGATTTTTTAAAAGTAGAAATTAATAAAATTATAAAAATGGCCAAATCATTGAATATCGTTTAAGTGGATAATCTAATTGCATCGTATTTGCATGGATCTAATTAACAGAAGACAAAATAAAAATTTTATTCCAAAACTAAGGAAGTACCATGACCAATTTGGAAAAGACCTTTAGTATAAAATCGACATTTCACTATTCATCACATTTCGATAGGCTAAATTTGAAATGAAGCGGTCGAAGAAATAAGTAGCAAAAATTATGCAAATTTATGTACTTGCCGTTCAATGAATAAGATAAAAATTAACTCACAAAAGATAGGACCAATAAATCTGAAGTTAGGGAAAGTTTCAGAACCTATAAAAACTATCAATATAAAGTTACAGTTTGAATATTCGATTAAAATCAAGGATATAAGAACATTACTTCTCAGCAAGTATGCAATAATTTCTTACTTTATAATCAAGAATTGCTTTCTAGAGTTCAGAGTTTCTTCTGTAATGACACCACAAGTAAGAGTCTTAAAAAAAGAAAAACAAGGAACCAATAAAAACTTTCAGCAAATCACAGTATTTATTTGGTAAAGTTATACTAGATAACTAAAATTATACTAGATAACTGATGGAATGAAGGAGTAATAGCTTATAAAATGTCACAATTTTTACTGCAATAAGAAAAATCTAATAAAATTTTAATTCCATATTCATAACCACATAAAGGAAGTTGCTTTCGCTGTAGAAACGATAAATTTTGATAATTCTTATGATGGGATCAAACTTTATTCACTTCATGTATGCACACTTGAAGTATCTATCTGATGCCACTTTTATGTGTGACTCAAAAGCGAGTTCGCAACTTACACAGTAGAACATCAATAAGACAGATAATTTTACTTTCATTTAAAAGATTTAAGATTATGAAAGAAGTGAATTTCATCTGCAGCCAAATTGAAATTTACAATAAAATTTCGACGGTTGACCAATGCGGCGAATAATTTTTACGTATACATCACTGCTGTCCCGCACCGCTTAGAAGTCGATCGATTGCGGCGTTTACATCACCAAATGTCGCAAGCAGTGCTATAAAAAAATCAACATACAAAAATTATGATGTTTCCCGTCCTTATTCTTTGTTCATGACAAAATCTTGTTCTGCCTCTACTTTCCAGAATAACACAATATAAACAATAATTATTTACCAAAAAGTCGATAAAAAATAACTGATTGAGGCAGTGACAAATATTAAGGCAAACTTTTGCAGTATAAACATACCTATCTAATGGAGGAATTAAGAAAATAATCGTTTCAATCATAGGTTTCTGCTTTTCTTTCTTCTATTATCATTTAATGGCTACATTTATATATCGTCGATCTAATTCCCACTTCATAACTTAACATTGGTTAGTTCCTAAGTAGTAAAAAACTTAAACCCAAATATACTATCGCATAAAGCAGGACGAGAAGTCAAGATTCTATATATAACAAATAGAATTGTGAGTTCAGAGAGAAAAATTGAACTGAAAAGAATGAAGTAGTTACATTTAGTAGACAACTGACAGAAAAGCCAAGAACATTTCGGATCGTAAATTGAAATTACCTTGAATATTCGCTTCCTGATTACTGAATCCCATACTTGTTAACTGCTCTAACTGACTACGATAACGCTCTTCTGGCGGTTGTGTCGATCCACCCTGAAAGTTTTTGTCTTCAAATAAACGAACTTAGATGCGCAGAGAACAACAACGTTGTAGAACGTGCATTACAACTTCAATCAATTTACAACGGGTAAACTGCTGCAATATTGCAATATTGAACAGCCACTAAAAAAACAAAATTTCAGACCTATTTATATCAATGTTCTGAATCGATTATTACTGTTGTTTGGTTTTTAAGTAATAAAGTTCCAATAGACTTACAAGAGTTGCGCCAGTCATTTGTCTAATTAAATTAAGCATCATCATTGCTTGCTCGGTGGTTGGAGCAGAGGAAGTCGTTGTTGTCGTTGTTCCTGTACCTGGTGTTGTGCCAGTTGTGGTTGAATTGCTAAAAAATATGAAAACATAGGTTTGTGAACCACAACTTGTCTTTTAAATTATTAAACACATGATGACAATCTTATTACTTTTCTGATTTAAAAAATATTTCCAGATAACAAAAACCTCTAATTTGACACCAAAAGAAAATAAAATGATGAACCTGGTAGTGGTACTCGGTGTTGTTGTAGTTGCTATTGGGGCAGTTGGAAAACTGGAAAGACAATATTGTGAAGCGATAGAAAAATCCCGCTCATATATTATATAAATTCCTACTTTTACATGAATAATATGGAAAAAAGATCTTACATGCCAGGAGGCAAAAGCTGTGGAGCTTCACGACGTAGAGTATCCATGCCAGTATGAATTTGATGGAATGCTTCAAGCACTCTCGGATTAGAAATTGCTCGCAACATTTCTGGATTTTGCATCTGAAAATTTGGTATATAAGTTCTAAAATTGATTTATAGATCCCAATTATTTATTAATTAGTTCTTGAAGCTGACTGTTCCCAAGTCAATATCCGACTAGTCGTTTGTAATGTAAATAAAATAAAGTTTTTAGCAACTAAAAGCGCTACCAAAACAACTCAAAAACTAAAAAGATCACAAATTTTGCGAAATAGTTACGATGATTGCTATCAAAGACAACTGGAGAGAAATCACAATTTTTTCGATATTCTGCTATACAAAAGAAGATTCGACCTATCTCATTCAAATTTTATTTTAAAAGTAACAATTATAAGCCTTACAGTATTCCGAAAATGTGGCATAGCATTCCGTATGTACTGTTCCATAGTTGATGACATTGCGGGGCCCGATGAGAGCATCTGAAAAATAAACAGCATTATTTCTTGTGCTTTTCAAAAACAAGTAGATAAAATAAAGTAAAATAAAATTTTTAAAAAGACGAAAATTGTAAACCTCTGATAATAATGTCGGATTCTGCCGAATCATATTCATAGCATTAGTAAACGTCTCGCTGTTGAGCAATCGTGCATAAGCATTTGGATCAGACAACATCGGTGGACTTTCCAGCAAACCAAGAGTATTTGCAAGTTCTAGAACGGAAATACGAAAAACGGTAATTATGCATAAAGCACATATATATATATATTTCATTCATAAATTAGTAAGGAAACAAACGGAGAATGTTAACTCTGTGCAAGTTTTCAAACTAGTCTTCATTTCATTTCACTTTTCCCATTCATTTAATTTTTAATTTAGTTCTAATCACATTTCACTTTTCCTTCCAGGTAACAGAGGATACAAAGGAAAAATGCACTGATAGTGAAATGTAGGATATTTCCGTTTATTGTCTCTTTTCAAGAATCAACTGGAAGTCTTCACACAAGTTTTTATCATTCATGGCAAAAAATGCAATACAGCGGATGAGAAAGAGAGAGGAAATGGAAAAGGAGAAGACATTTGTCCACTTTAGCATTTCATCATTAGCACACCATCAGACTGCGCTGTTTAAGAGATAAAATTTTGCAGTTACGTAGAATTAAATCATATAATCATTAATATCAACAAAATAAAATAAAATCGAACGACTGCAGCAGTAAAATTAACTTACCAGCCAGTAAATTCATTGAAGGTTGAGAAGAGGTGCCGCCACCAGCCCCTGTAGCGGTTGGTGCAGAACCGGACGTGTTGGTAGAATTATCCCAAGGATTTGGCAATGCTTCGGCATTTTCAACACCAGCACGTTGGCTACGTGATGCTAAATGATGATGCAGGACTATTTGACTAAAAATATTTTGGGGGCAAACTGCTAACCATTCAACATATGATCCTATTTTTAAAAAAACAAAGCACTGTAAAAGCTGTTAAATATAAATTTATGAAGTAAAGACAGAGAATATCTTACCCATATTAGTGGAATTATCTACTAAAGTTGCAAAAGGATTGTTAGCGAAAGTACTTGTTGCACTGTTCAACAGCGGTTCTTGTACATCTTGATATAAACGTTGTAATGCTGCTTGTCCACCCGGAATACCCTAAAACAACCGCTAATTTCTACCTTAAATATATTATCAATTCAACCGACTTTAAAAAAAAACTTAGCACTGGATTTTCAAATTCTAAAAAATTGTAATTTTAATACTAGTTGCAAAATGAACAAAAATGATTAAGCGCTGATAAAAACCTGAAGATTCCGTATTGCTTGGTCACGGCTACGCATCAACTCTTGAAACATACTCGGATTTCTCACCATTTCGATCGTTTGCCGAATAACTTCCGGATCGTTCAGTAAATGGCCGAGCTCGGGATTTGACTTAAATCAACATTTGAAATTGATCGATGATTAAAATTATAAGTCGAGAAACTCACCTTTTCCTACTATTTTTTCATTTTTGATAAAAACAGGATGGAGAAAAAAGATTACTTCAATAACTTGCTGAATCTGCGGATTGTCAGCAATCAGTGACCGTATTATATCTGGGTTATTCAGTAGTGATTGAACTATTGGACTATTCGTCATTTCACGTATTGCTTCTGGGTTTTGCATCATATGCTGCGCCATACCCAATGCACCACTCATTGGATTTCCACCCATTGCTGGATTCTATTTTAACAAAAAATCTTAAGAAAAACTAAATTAAGAGAAGCGCGTGTAAAAAGGTTAAAAACGTATAAAGCGTATAAGGAAAAAATATCAAACGTTTGAGTTACTAAGTAGAAGTTCGAATGTAATTTCCGAAAATCGAAAACAATAAAAAAGGACTTACTGGAGTTGTTCCAATTCCGGAAGGAGTGTCAGCTGCTGCGGGCTGAAACAGAGTAATATTAATAACTAGAAGTATAATAATAAAGTTAATTAAATTGATAAATTCTGAACAGAAAGATGAATTTTTTCTTACCCGTTGTGAATTACGTATGACAAGATGAATGGCCATACCATCTTTAATAGCTGAAAATTAAACAGTCACTGAAAAATGCAAAACAATAGAGAAGATATTGTCATAAAATACAAAATATCTAGTCCAAACTAAACTATTATCTTCAATTAGTTTTTAAATGTATCCTTTTCTATTTCATACAAACAAATATGAATGGAAAAAGATTAAGAACGCAATTCCAAAACCAAACTATCGCAATTACCAATGTTAACTATTATTTCTAAAGAAATATTTTCTGAAAAAAAGAAATGCCTGATAGAGCTAAAACAAAGTCATTGAACTACTGCAAAGAAATGTTTTCTGAAAAAAAAAAGAAAAAAGGTACAAAGTTTAGTGAGTGTCTCGTGATCTTTCAAAATCTTCCCAGAAAAGATGAGACAAAGTTTTTCAGGCGGTTGATTAATTTTCTCCGACAGTACTGCTTTAACCTGAAATTTCAATCATTAGAATAAGAATAACGAACTTAGAATTCCAATTATGACTACAATAACAGTGACTAAAAGTTTCCTTAACTGTAACATTTCAAGCCATCTATGTTGTGGTGTTCAAAAAAACTGAAAGTAACGAAAAATAAGCAGACTGTGGTGATCTCGTATAACAAATGAAGAATCTCAATAAGACTTAGTTGTTGTATATGGAATACAGATGATAGTCTCTGCCGGCATACCAGTAAATTGGAATATAATATGTACGGATAAAAGCACAGGGCTTTAGTCGATCTATGAAAATATGTTGCTACAATTGCACCGTGTGCCCCATAACCAACAACAGGAATATAACATGAAAAATATTTCACATGCTCTAGAAAAAAAAATCCCAAAAGCAAGAAAAAAGTTAGCTGCATGACTAATAATACATTTAAATAAGTAGATACCTTTAAAACAGTAGCTTTTTCCGGCACTGTAATATCATAACCCTCCGTTGTAGTTTTTACTTTCAGGCTTATTTTGTTTTGAACCTCTTCATCACTATCAGAATCCGTCATTATTGGTCCAAATTCTGGAAATTACTAAAAACTTATAAAGGCCAAGAATGAATCTCACGTAACTATGACAATTAACTTAGTGCCTTATCAGTTCCACCTAAAACGACTTCCATCATTCTCTTTCTCAACTAAAATAAAACCCGAAATTACAAAGCTTCTGATCCACCCAAAATGATTCATCTCCTTATAGTCATGATCAACTTCTATCCCATGAATTTATTCTTGTCATGCAATCTATATTACCCTTGGCAACAACCTCTCGTGACACGTAAAAGTGAGTGACCATCCCCACCACCAACTTACGACTACCTCACTGACCGAACAAAGACCTATTACAACCATCGTAATAACATTTAATGTGGCCGTAACGCTAGAGCCGTGGTCCGTTAAATGTAAGCATTACAAGCGATATTACTGCGGAAGTCGCTCACGTGCAGATTGATCATAATTATGTGCGATTGGTCAGCTCTCCCTGCGGTTCCACCTTGGTTGTGTACTTCATGAGTCTGTAAGCCTAGTTGACCTCTTGATTTATTTTGCTAAATCTGTGGATCTCATAGTTAGGCGGGACTGAAAAATATTGAGACATACATTGAGCACAAACTCTCCACGGAATTTCATTTTTCGATTTCCGATTTGCTCTTAATTTCTCGCTCTCCAGTTATTGCTGTTATGACATTGCATTAAATTTTCACTAAATATTTAGAGAAAGTAAAACTGTGACTTAATAATTTGAATTATGCATCATCTCATATATCTATTTCACGATTCATATTCATGTGAAATGTAACAAAGCGTGCCACCTTTAGTATGGGTTACTTTATATAGACACTCTGTTATGTCCTAAACTTGAATTGATTCATGCTTGTAACTTAAATGTATTATATCATTAATTCGGACTCCATATTTTTAATTTGAAATATTCTGCACTCCTAAACTATAATTCCGACAAATCTCCAAACAGCATGTTTTCTTAGTAACAATCTGTGCCAAGCTCTTCTCATTGCTACTGTTATTTTTTACATAATTATTCATGAGAATCCATGGTTTTGCTGCTAGTCAATCCATTTGATGTCTTATCAAGATTCGTGGTTATATGAATAATGGCAGAAATAATTGAAATCCTAGTATCTCTGGTTATTATGCAATAACTGCATAGTCATGAATCACTCTTGAAAAAACATGGTGAAATATATTCCATTATATATTGTTTAATACAAATTAGGTGAAATAACTGGCTAGAAACAATACAAAAAAGGAGAAACAATATAACTGAATGTTAAGGATTCAGAAATATGCAAAAATAATATATGAATAAGTTTGCTATCGGGTACAAAGATGTAGAAGAAAAAAGACGAAAAAAAGAAGCATGAAATTATCACCATGTAAACTTTTATATCATTGAGTTTATATCATCATGACTAAATAATTCCACATATAAAGAAGTATTGAGATGTCATTCAAATTCTCTGATAAATCTTAACAAGATGCACCAAAGCTCCAACTTTTTAACGTATTGTTCTACTGTTAAATATGTTTATGTGAAAGCTCATGAATCCTAGTTTTTAACGTATTTACTGTTCTACTATTAAATATGTTTATATGAAAGCTCATGAACTTCCGTATATGAAAGAGAGACGAAGATAAGGCTTATGCCTCAAATTCTATTTCTCTTATTCAGCATAATTCCTATTGTTAACATACTAACCACCGCTTATAAATTATTCACATAGTAAGGAAGCAAGGTAAATAATTTAAAAAAAATACCGGGTGTCAAACTGCTTAACTTTGTTTCACACTCTTCCCCATACCACACAATTCTACTTGACAGTGTGTCAGAGTATTACTCTCCGTTCAAATAATTTACCAAAGTATCATATTAAATGAAAATTTTGAAAGATAGAGCACTTCAAAATTAGTTAAAACAGAGGAAAATCTTTATGGAAAAATTTCATGTAATGCAGAATGAGAAGCATGACATCCATTTCTAGCAAGTTTTTAAGAATTCCTGATTTTCAACTTCGTAACGTTCTTTGAAAACGATCAATGTAAATCCGTGATGAATTCAAATTTAGCTTTGGCCTCTATTTCAATTATTTGTAAAAGAAATACAATTCATGCTGCATAGTTACTTGACCCGTAATAATTATTTTGAAAGGAAAAGGGGAAAAACAGAAATGAAGTAACTCTTAACGCTACCTCCTTGGATCTTTAGTACTGTCGGTTTTACTGCCAGTGGAATCACTAATCCCAAGATGGTCAATATGTGGCGGTATTGGCGGTGGCCTTATAAACGATATATGAGATGCACACGATTCACTGACGATGGCTGAGAGAGGCTTGATTTCAAGAAGCCTCGACGGTGGACATAGCGAAGTAAATGATGGTGCTGGACCGTTCAGAAGCGGTGGAGCACAGTGAGATGAGAAGCCAGCTGATGCTCCAGACCTCTGTGACGAACTGGCATTCGCAGTAGAACTAGACGGACCTGATACGTGACGGAATTCCTGTCGATAATCACGATCACCATGATCACGATATGCATCTGTATAATTTCGTTCCCAGTACGAAGTTCGATCACCTGAGAAAATTGCTTGTTTACTTTATTGAGGTGAATACATTTCTGCACTAATACTCTGTACTTTAGATTGTACTAATACCGATAATTCGCCACTAGTGTAGTTTATTTGTCCCTAGGGATTACTGTGGACTAACCCTAGAGAAAATATCAGCTTGACAAAGACAATAATTACAGGAATCAAGTTCTTGATCTATAAAACAATAAGATACAAAGCACAAAACATACATGTCCAAATTCCCAAACATACCTTTGTCACGATAGTAAGTGTGCTCTCTTCGATGTTCCTTATAAGTATAGTGCTCATATCGTCCACTTCTTGCTCTGTCTCGGTAACTTGCGTGACTATGAGTACGATGGAGATTGCTACTATTGCTGCTACCATAATCCCCACGATATCGATACGATGAATCCTTGTAACCATCATTCTCATTTTGGTTTGAATATAATAAACTGGATTGCTGTAGTTGCAATACCGTTGGCTTGTAAGTATCAAAATTGTCGTTTATTACAACTGACTTTCTAAATTTATTTTAAATTTTAGTAGTTTTAATTAAAATTATAAAAACTACCCAAATACAGCCGAAGCTTTTAAACTGCAATTCTACAGTCTGAATCATTTTTATCTTTTTTATCTCCAGGAATATAGCTTATCCTTCGGAAGCCATAAGTGTTACAATCACTTATTGTATACGATCCATCACTGATAAAGATCTAATTAACTTGTCTCGCCAAATAGAAAATTACACAAAACTTGCCGTCTGCACTATCCTAAAGTACCATCAGGATGCTTAACGACCTCAACACTCAAAAGAGAAATTATCACCAAAGGACAGAAAGAAGAAAGTCTAGTTACATTAACAAACATAATTCTGAATATATTTGACAAATTTTTAATTTCTTTCAAAAACAACTTATTTTAATTGAACAACACTTGATGCAACTGGATTAATATATTACAAACATTCTGCAAACTGCTAAGGTTGTGGTCAAAAGTTTAATACGGAAACGATTTCAATGTATCCATGAACTGATCTTTATAAATAAACCGATATTTTAGCTCAAGAGTTCACATGGAAAACATATCGACTTACAAATTTTCGTCTTTTCCGCTATTTCCATGTTTCATAGAATGTTGATGTTTTTGAACTTCTGGCTTGTTCGAATGTTGTCCTATTACTGGGCACCCATCACTGCTTAAACGAATATATTTTGAATTCTTATCAATTTTTCGATCGCTTCCAATTGCGGTTGTAACACTGTCGCCTTTTCGTTTAACAGCAGTATTAACATCCATAACTTCACCTGTAGCAGTTGTTGCTTTATCATCCCGCTGATTCTTCCTGGTATCGTGATAATGATGATGATGATGATGACGACGATGATGATGTTTACGATGAGTTTCCTGAAGAAAAACTTATTTTTGCAGTTTACGCATTATGAAAGCAATAAATTTTCGAAGGCAAAATTCTATCAAAAATTATTTCAAATATCGAGAACTCTGAGGTGGTGAAAAAAAGCGTCAATTCTAGAGAGGAATTCCTTTTACAATATTTTAAAAAATCAAAACTGCTTTTTTCTTAATTTTTATGCAAATAATTAAGTCAAGCAGTTATACAGTTTCGTTATTATTTGCACGATCTTTTGCAGCAATACGGTAGCGTTGAAGTAAATCGCTGGGTTCTTGTCGCGTGAAACACGATAAAAAAATCCACAGATAAGAGTGCCAATTTTCGACGAGTTGTGATTTACTGCAACTCAGTAGCAATTAAAACTTGGAGAGCTAGAGTTTTAAAATACAATTAGATTGCGATAAGGATGTAAAAATGAAATTTAATCAAATAGATTAATCTAAAGATGAAATATGATCGGGCAATAGGGATCTAAAAATCAATTAAATTTTTACAGACTAGGATTTATATAGTTTTATTTGTTGGTTTATTTAGAATAAATTTTAATTATAAAAACCTGGAACAAAAAGTAAAATCTAATGGGACGGATTCATCAATTGGACTGAATTCCAGAATACAATTTGATAGTAAGGTTCATTCAAAAAGTGTTGAGCAACATCAAACGCATGTTAAAATTAAAATTTTAATAACTGAATTGTAGGGAAAAAATAAGACTCTCTACTATCCATGCACATTTTCTTCTTGCCTTTTTTTTGATACTGTTTGCTGATATGTCAGTGATTTTATAGAATGTTTTCAACGTGACATTTTTAGTAAAACCTAATCTAAGGTTAGGTGTACACATGAACTATATGAACCATGAATGACCTATGAACTATAGGTACCATTTTCCGTGTCTATAAACAATTCATAAAGTTATCGTATTGTGCTATACTTTCGAATAAATCGAACAATTTTGATACATTAAATAATATATTGACATTCAAACCTTCTTTAGACAATAACCTTCTTGACTTTCGATTAGACTCTTCATAAAAAACCGAGTTCGGTTGTACTACATTTTTTTGAACTACTCTGAGTATATCATTCTCAAAAAATTATAAAATTATATTTAAACGTAAACGCAAACTTCAAAGTGTAGCAAACATGGGAATACAGTTTTAAACAAAGAAGCAAACTCAAAAAACTTAAGCTGTACGTTAAGCTAATTTTTCCAAGATGTTCATTGATATGATCACCAATCTTGAGTAAATTTCGCAGTGAATCGGTTGAGCTTAAGTCATCGCACTGCACCAGTTTTCGCATGTACTTCTGAGCGGGTCGCATGATTTTGACACACTAAAAAAACAAGAGACGACCATTTTCCTTATAAGACAATTTTGAAAGTTTCAGAAAGAAATGAAAATATATTTCTCATCAAACAACTGATAGCTGATAAAGCTACTTCACCTATTTATATTCGCATTTTCTGAATTTATAAGTTGCTTAATTTCTTGATCACTTATTTCGTGTTATGTCATGGCAAGTTCCATGTTAAGAGTACCAAATCTTTCTAGTTACATGACGTGAAGTATAAACAGTGAATTGTTATAATTAGGGCACGAATATCCCATAAGAATTTATAATCAGTTGTTGTAATTATGTTATATCTGATAACTAACACATCATATTGACAAGTTTTTTAAGCTATTCTATCATCCAATGCAAATGTGTCCCGCTAAAATAACGGTAACCAAATGAATTTATCTCTTAGACAGCCATCACCAGACTATTTATTTAATTCATCGTATCACCTCTTAACTCCTTGTGATCAAAACCATTAAATACAAAAGCCGATTTGATATATATATATATACTACCTCTGCAAATTGCGATGATTTCTTGTTTTCAACGTCTTTTTTATACTTTGATTTGTTGATGGTTAAATGATCTAAATTGATTCCAATTCTTTCCTTCTTAAGCTGAAAATTGGTCAATCTATTGAAAATTTGAGAATGAAAACTGTAATAATTTAGATCTATATAAAAGCACAGAAGGCTATCATTGCCCTCTATTATTCGAAATTATAAACAACAATTACTCAAAATGGTTTCTTATCTTGACTATACTTACAGTTATGGAAAATATTTCAGAATTATATGACTGAAACAAAACCATTTATACTTTTGTTTCTTTTTTTTCAGCATCATCTTTTTCTTCTCCGTGTTCTCCTTTACACTTCTTTTCTTTCTTATCTTCTTTTGATGTTTTCCTTTCTTTTAGTTTATCCTGAATCACCAATATATATCAGTGCAAAAAGCAATTTAATATAAGCTGAGAACAAATACAGAAAATTTAGGACTATTTTTTTTTATCCGGAGCATTATAGGTATCATGAATTTACTACCAATAACTAAGACACCTTCCGTTAACGATGCGAAAACATATTCAAATTCAATGAAAACAGTGTCATTGAATCGTTTCTTTGACAAACCCATTGTCTAATTAATTTATCAGCCACAAAGAAATATGACAAAGAAGAAAATCTCGCACTTACCAATATTCCTAAAGATGATGGAGCCAAAGAATAATTTTTTTTAAGAAGTTTCACTCTAGTTGAAGTATTTCCTGTAGCCTTCGTATTACGAGCAAGATATTTCAAAAGATATTCCGCTCGTGCTTGAAGATGCTTACTTTGTGGTTTCTTACTTTTATCCTTCAACCATATCTAGAACAAATAAAATAGATGCATTTTATGATTAATAAAAATAAAACCAATCGCTTCATTATATCTAGCTATCTTTTAACAAGTTTGAAGTTTTTTCTCAATAAAATTACAAAGATATCAGTGGTTGAAAACACATTCCATGTAACTCCCCACGTAACCTTTTCATCTTCACACATATTTGGGTATACGCATGCTCATAATGGTTCCTGTACACTCTTTTATTTCTCAGAAGAGTTAAAGCTTTTTAGTATAATTTTGGTTTAAAATTTTTTTAAACAATACAACCATAAAAAGTATACTTTTTCAGCTAAACCATAACCGGGATCCATTTTGATTTCTTCCCAACTGCCAAGGCCATATTGATAGATGCCTTTCAGTAGTGCTAAATCATCCGCAATATCCCATTCAACATCCCAACCTTTTTGTTCCTTCGGATAACCCGGAATTTGTAATAATCTGATATCACCAGCACTTTTGACAAGATTATGAAGTGGTAAAAGATCTGATTGCATCTTCAGTAGCGGTCGGACATAGACATCAATATTTCCAAATTTAAAAATTGCCCCACGATCCTGAGAGAAATTGAAACTACATTTTCTATGAATTATTCAAAAATAATTTAAATTCCATAAAAATTCCTTACATTTGTTTCTCCACTTTCGAAGTTAGAGGTGAAGAAATTTACAGGGATCGAAACTTGAAATTCTATACTGAAAGCCAAACCTGTTTTCTTTTACCATCTTCCATAGGTTTCTTCATCACTTCTTTGATTTTTTCTTCATATTCAGTTTGGGCTTTCTGGCAACCAGTTAATAATTCATTACCAAGCTGTTCAAGCTCACTTTTGCTGAACTCTTCCAATGCTGCGTCTTGGGCTATTGCTTCTAACCTATAGTGTAACTGACCTTTGAAGAGTATGATTATGAATCTCACTTTTTTTTCAGAAACGTTGATAATTTAAAATTTTTCATGACAAGATGAGTTACAATAAAACTCACCTTGTAAGGGGTTCTGCAAATTTCCGGAAACTTCGTATGAATTTCCTTACTTCTGACTCGGTGAAATTAAGCAACAATTTCTTCCGCGCACGTTTTGGTTTATCTTCATCGGAACCTTCTTCTTCGCTTAATGGGGAATCTCGACTACGTTTCCGCTTTTTTTTCTTCTTTTCATCCTCATCACTATCACCAGCTTCTGCAGCTACGTCAGGGATCTGCAGAAAAATTGATTTAAATTTAATATAACAAAAAGAATGAACGGATGAATCTATTTCATTATGTATTCACTTCAAGCGATTTACAAAACCTGCATACAAACATATTACCAGATCACTTCTCCAATTATCAGATCTTATCAGCAAACATCATTGGATAATTAAATCGCTTCTGCCTCTCATATCATTTAAATTAATCATCACTTAATGAAGAAGTGCTATCAAATTTGGCTTATCAAATAAATGACGCGACATGGAGACGTAACTGCATGTCTCGTGAAGCCGCATATAAATCTTGCAGTACTCACTGCACAAATTCTAAACCAAACAGTTTCTTTCATTTATCCACTGACAAGGTGGTAAATGGATGAACAAAAAATTATTCACCAAAACCCACACCTTTGTTCTCTGTCTTGGTCCAAGGAAAAGCTCTTTTTCGGCTCGTTCACGCTCTTCCTCAGCAAATTTTTCACGATCAACTTCTGGAATAATTTCATCCCACGATTTCGATCCTACCAAATCTTTTTGGTTTATTTCCATTTGAACTGTTACTGCGTTTAGTGTTGGTACATCTTTGTTCTCATCAAAAGAAAAATCTGCATAACGGAATGCATTCAACAATTCACTGCCAGAATTCTGTAAATTTGAAACAATTTATTATCTTTTAGTAACAATTTTATAAATCTCAAAATCCCAAAGTAAATTGAATGATATATTTCATCGATATCTCCAAAGTCGATGAGTAATGAAATGAAAAATATGACAAGAGCTCTCTCTTGGATACCTGTTGATCACACTCCCGGGTTTCCGCACCTTGCAAAATATTATCAATATCAACTTCCGGTTCTTGTTCTTCACCTTCTTTTTCTTTAAAAAGCTCCTCGGCACCAAATTTAAGAATCATTGCCAAGTCTTGTTTGTCAAATGGTATTGTTCCATTTGTCACTGTAGTTTTCGAAAGTACAGTTCGACCAGTTGTATCCATTCTCTATAAATTCTTTAGTTCTTAAATTTTAATATTTGAAAACCAAAATTCCTTTGAATTTTTCTAATTTTTTTGTTGTCATCACAAGCACTACAATGGAAAATTTAAGCAAATGAACCTGAATAATAAGATGATCCAAGACTAGCTTCCTCTTCGCCCTTTCCACAATTTCCTCTTCTACCGATGCCTTTGTCACCAAACGATATATGTTTACCTTAATAAGCCATAAAAATCATTCTCATAACTGTCATAAATTATCTTTAAATTCTAAACACATTATCTGCAGAATAGCAGTTGTCAATCGCTGGAGAAATATGAATCTTTTCTTACTGAGAACTTAGAATTACAATTTTACCTGTTTTTTTTGGCCAATTCTATGTGCACGACTCATAGCTTGCAAATCATTTTGTGGATTCCAGTCTGAATCAAAAATAATCACTGTGTCCGCCGTGGCCAGATTTATTCCAAGGCCACCAGCTCGGGTTGAAAGTAAAAAGCAGAAATCAGGAGAATTTGGAGCATTAAAATGATCCAATGCTGCCTTCCGAAGATCTGAACGCATCGATCCATCCAATCTCTGGGATTCAAATTTACATGGGAGCAACATAGCCACATTATTTGACAGATTATTAAATTCACCAGAGATAATGATTTGGTAGAAAATTCTACAGTTAAGCTTAAGGAGTAGGTCAACCTTGCTTTATTACATTTCAGTATGAAATAATAAGCATTTTTTTCTGCTCACAATAACGGCTAGGAAAAAAATCAAATCTAATAACCTACAATAAAAAAGTTGATAATGTATGAGAATGTCGGTTACTACATTATATTCTACTTCATGCTCTTCTAATTTACAGATTTTAACTGATTTCGTTGTATCACCATCTTCAGATTTCAACACGATGAAAATTATCAAACTAATGGAACCAGTGGATCAGCTTGTTATATAAACATACGTTAATAAACTGTTTATTTTGTCTATTTGAAATGCATTATTATCTGTCTGACCGTCCGATATTCTTTGACTGTGTCTCGTTAATTCTTAGACTTATTTAAAGTTTCCAGAATTTTAATCCTGCCATTTTTCAAAATATATGCCTAATATTACTTTTCAGTATCACCTTAAGCTTCAACTTTTTTCCCAGCCGAAAAATCCTACAACGGATTTTGTCTAAGCTTCAAATAATGCAAACAATCGGATTTATGAATGAATTTTTAAAATATTTACCTGTGAAGGGAAACGTCGAAGCTGAAGATATTCTTGCATGATATCGAGCATCATTACCATCTGTGAAAAAATCAACACCCGATGTCCAGTTTCTTGTAAACGACATAACAACTTGTCCAGTAAAATCAATTTACCAGAAGACTTCAACAGTTGCTAAAATATTTTCGCATTTAATATAAAAAAAAACTAAGTTGAGCTTGAAAACAATTAAATTAAATCCTACATAATATTGAATTAACTTATTTGATTTCATACAAACAAAAATTCTTGCACTCTTTGCTCATTATTACTTATGAGAAAGTTCTTAGAAAGGATAAATTTAGGAGATCAAATTCATCCAAAGTACAAGGTTAATTCATAGTGGTTTCTATAAATTTTCCCGGAAAACAGAAAATGGGATATGTCAAATAATTCGACAAAGTCAAAGCCCTTATGTTACGGAATGAAAAAAATTGCATGGAGTTCCACGAGAGAATATCAAGATATTATTAATCCGTCATTTTTGTCTATGTATTCCAAATCCGAATTCTCATTTTGAGGACAAACCTGTAATCGGGCATCTGCACCTTCCTCCGAATGATCATATGATCGAACAAGTGAAGCGTGGTTGCAACATTTTTTCAGTTCCATAACCAAGTTCACAAATCCATTAATGGATCCTTTTATACCTTTTGATAACTCTTTGTAATTTTTGGTTAAAATCCATTTGTAATATTGTTTTTGCTGAGCAGTCATATCTACACGCAAAATTTTCTCAACCTGAAAATACGTTCAACTATTGAAATTCTAACGAAATAATAAACGCAAAAATTTGAAGAATGCAATGCTAGTGTGTTTCATAAATATCATGCACAATATTTGAAATGCCGTTTTTTTGCGTCGCGATAAGCAGAGAACGGAGAATCGAATTAAACAGATTTCACAACTTAACTTCGAAATTCTTTCAAAACTTTTTCAAATAACATATAATTATAAATGTAACCTTAGCTGGCAGTGATTTTTCCACATCTTTTTTTACACGTCTCAACAAAAATGGCTGAAGTTTTCGATGCAATGATGCAATTGTCTTGTGATCAGAGTCATGATGTTCTGTCTCAAATTCTGGCCAACTGTCAAATCTATAATAAAAACACAATAATCAGTTTTGAGAGCTAATCAAAACAAACAATTTTTTTCTGATGATTTGCGTATCCTCGAAGTTTTTCTGTTATTCTATGCATCTTTTTTAAACAAATGTAACAAAATGGCAAAACAATGAATATATTTCGATTCATAAACGTTGAACAAGATAGTAAAAAATTTCCCCTGACTGTAAAACTCAGTGGAAAAAATAGAAATGCTTTAATGTTTTCTAAAGTTTCGTTCCTTTTTTTCATGAAATACCAAATGATCCTAAAGTCTATTTTGAGAAAGAAGAAAATCCTACTTTCTGAATGCTTACTTTTCAGGCATAATAAAATGAAGTAAGGCCCAGAGTTCTTTCAGAGAATTTTGAAGTGGTGTTCCGGTTACTAGTAATCGATGATTTGTAGTGAATTCGAAAAGCGAACGATACAACAGTGATTCATCGTTTTTTAAACGATGCGCTTCATCGACGGTTAATACAGCCCAGTCAAACGAACCAAGGAAAGACTAAAAAGTCACAAAAATTTTACATAATAAGAAGCCATCAAAAAAAAAAACTTATAAGCACTGCTTTATCATTACATGAAAGATATTATCAAACATTTTGCATCTGCTAACATTTCCTGCTATTATCAATGATGCAAAACTTGCCTTATCTTTTAGCAGGATTTCGTATGTAGTTAAGACGACATTGACTTTCAGGCGTTTTGTGCTCTGTACATATATTTCAAATTGCCTTATCTGCAAACCAATTCTTTCAAATTTTACGTCACACAGTTATTCGAATCGAATTAATATTATAGTGTACAATTAAAATTTATACATTTGCCTAAATCAAATGCATAATTTGCAATTACGATAGATTGGTAGACCATATAATTGAGTCAAGTTTGTAGTTATTCAGTATGTCATAATAAGAAGTTGTGAAGTTATCAAATTGCTACAAAGTATACCAACATCAAGTTATCAATTTCAGTGAGCAATTTAGCTGCTACAAAATTATATTCATGTTTGCAGGAAGCATTACTTTCAGCTTATGTCTTATGCAAAAGTGTTATTAAATTTAAAAAATAATGGTTTTAAATGCATTATATTAGCTAATATCAATTAAGAAAAAGTATAGAAAACATGAAAATACGTCATAAGATGTAAACAGCATTAATAAAAAAAAAATAAATTAATGACCAGATCACGGCTTGTAACATCACCAACATAGGTGACAACATTAAGATCAGGTGCCCAAGTTTCGAATTCACGTTGCCAAGAGGCCATAGTGCTTAATGGTACCACAACCAGAAATGTTCCATACAACTGATATTTGTGATAGAGTACTGAGAGAAAACTAATACTTTGAATCGTTTTACCCAAGCCCATTTCATCCGCAAGGATGCAACTATTTTCTCTGAAATTATGTTGAAAATTCTTGTAAATATTAAAAAATTAAAAAAAATTATGGAAATGATCGATAATCTTATCTTACTTCCATTTCTCAACACACAGTTAAACCATATTCACCCATCTGCATCTCCTGTTTTCATTGCTGAAATCATTCCAACTACTATTTATCAAATTTTTGTTTACTTACAATGATATATATTATTTACTTATATGCATCTTTTTTGAGTTTTATGTTCCATAACATACTACACAATTATAAACTAACTGTAAGCAAAAATATGTTTAACGGACGGTACCTCATCTAAGTGTGCTATTATAACCACAAAGTACATGCCATATGAAAAACCATATTTTTATAAATTATAGCTTTCCTTTCTATTAGCAACAGTCCTCAATTTCAATCATATTAGATTCTAAAACTTACTTTGTCCAAGCATGCAATATCCAGTTCACTCCTTCCAATTGATAATCGCGCAACTCATGTTCTGGATCATCCTTTCGTTGAAGGAAATTAGGGATATTATTCAGTTTTTCAAATTTTGGACGTTTTCTCAACGCCTGCAAAAATATTGAGGATAGAAGAGAGATGAGAATTCAAGATGAAAAGAAATTACATAGAAAAAAGCAAGAGAGAAAGAGATGCCAATAAATAGTAAAAGAAAGGATATGATAACCTTTGTAAAAGCACCTCAGCACACTTTATAAAGATGTGGTAAGTCAATAAGGATAAGAGAGCTTATCATATAAAAATATGATGTGTCCTCGAAAACTACTGTACAAACTTTTGAAGCAAAATACTTCTGAAAACAAACTGGACAATGTTTATTAGGTATTTTCCCGTTATCACGCCGATCATAGTATGCATCAATTTTATCTTGAAATTGTCGTGCGATCAAATGTTCCTCTTCCCAAGTGCATTCGGAATACGGTAAGCCACACCATTTTACAAAGTATTCCGTTCCTTCGTTTTCACCTTGACTACGCGATATCTGATGAGCTATTACTCGTTCAATAACCTAAAAAATTTATCCTTGTCGTAAATATCCAATGATTACTGAACCAAAATTGTCTCGATTTATTGCTGTACTGTCTCTTCACTATGTTAAAGTAAACACTACTAATTACGAAAAGCTCAATTTACCAACTACGCAACCGTTTATGCTAGTCGGATGATTACCACTAAGAATTCACTCCCAATTTTGTCGTCGGAATTTGGAACATTTAACACTCCCAATGAGTAAGTGGAATGTTTTTAATCTTAATAAATTCCTAAAATGGTTCTGATCCTAATTAAAAACTCGTCGAAATAAAGTGCTTTAATATTCAAACCATCAACTGAACTCTACAGGAAATTAAACCGATTCAACCTCACACCTTTTCTTTACATACATATACGTTCCTGATGGTATTACCTTATATTGTTCGTTAAGTTCGTCGTTCATTTGCTGTTCACAGTCAAAAAATTCGATATATTCTTTATCCGCAGTAAGTTTCCTGGAATTATGCAATTACGTAAATTATCTTTTCGGAATCATGAAAAAAATCTGAATTTTCATTTCAATTCATAATCCACCCTTCTGCTTTCCAAATCAAATTCCAAGAGCATTTCAACTGAAACTAACCATTCTTCGATATCTCTTAAACGTTTCATATAATTATCGATTTTCTTCAATCCTTTGGCATTACAAAGCTTTAAGCTATTTTCCGATTCCCACGTATTATGAAGATGTGACCAGCCTAACCATTTGATTAAATACTGGCGTTCCAATTCTATTTCTCCGCCATTTTCTGGAAACATAACTTCTATAGCTTCCATCTTTTTCCTTCTTTCATTTTTTATTAATACTATTATTCAGAACAGAAAAATTCTGTTAACAGCGAGATACATGCATGCCTCACAAACTATGATGAATGAGGATTTTTATAAAAGGTCTACAATTAAATGTCAGACTTTGATTCTGTTTTTTTCAATTTCTTTGTCTTTTATTTTCAGTACATATTGCGAAACTTTTAAACTATATTTCAAACCTAAAAAGTGCCCTTTGGAAAATTTCCAACACAAAACTTTGTTCAAATTTTCACTTGTTAGTGTCCGATTCCATGAAACGCAATTTTTAAGAAAATAAAATTAATGAATTGGTATTAACATAAACGTTTATTAAAATTTGTTCGTTGCTTATGTATTTTCTCATGCTCCTATAAGAAAATACAATTTTTCCACAAGCAGTACCTGCTAGTTTAACATTCGGATCACCTTTATCCTCCACATTGTAGCATGTTGTCGATGCTCCGGTTGCTCCTGGATGTCCTGCTCGATGACGTAATACCTTTTCAATTGTTTCACTGCTCGAAGTATTATGATCTGCTGAACCACCATCTTTTATTTTATCACCTTCATCCCATTCTAATACATCATCGGAATTTATCTGAAATTTAAAATGGAACGGTTACAATTGTAGTAAATATGGTCCATCACTTTACTTAGATCATTAAATCCCTTATGTATTACCTAAATGATCTTTATATCAAACATTGAAAATAAATAAATATTTGAGATAATTAAAAGCATTTGATTATTTCCTTGCTTATGTTCGATAGCATTCCAAATTTACGTTAATGCTGCTAGTATACTACTTATGTCACAAGCTTACTGACTGTATTTTAATTTCGGTGAAAACGGTTTAATATATGATATGACCTCTTCGTCTGAACTGATATCCCGATAATTGATGCGATTTTTTTCACCACCAAATTTGCTCCGACGGGCTGGACGTATTCCTCCCGAATCATCATCGGAACTTATGCCACGTTTTCGACACTGCTTCCTTGCTTGCGATTTCTTTGGTTTTTGACGCATCTTTTGTGACGATGTAATTTCCGACGATGAATCACCGTCACTCGTTTCATCCTCCTCGAATTGTGGCAATTCTCTGCAAGAGTGAAGAAAATTTTTAACTTTCAGAAAATTGCTTTAAAACATTAGCAGCAGAAAAAATAATACCTTTTACCAGGTTTTTTCAAAACTTTTTCTGTCCTCTTCTCCGTATTTGAACCGATCGTTTCCTTACGCTGCCTTGAAGACCGTCGTAATATATTCTCATCTTCCAGCAACTTAATAAAGTATAATTGTCAGTAACACGAACAATGACTTATGATATTTCAATTCTGGATGCACTGTAATAATGAATTACGTCACCTCGTTCACCATCCACTTTGATAAATCAAAATTGCTTAAACTTAACAGGCGACCTATCTTAAATTCGGCAATCTTTGATACAGTTCAAGAAAAGAAAATTTTTTTTAATTACACCTTTCGTGTTTCATCTGTAATTTTGACACCACGTTTCTTTTTTATTTTGGCAATCTCTCCATCACCACTTTCAGCACTGAACACTGAATCACTTTTTCGTTCATTTACATTGCAGTCATCATTTTCACTATCTATAAGTGTGCACATAAGTTATACAATTTCCACAAAGAATGCTTGATTTCCATCTTTCAAGTATTGAATCAAAGAAAAAAAGAAAAGCTAAAAATTTTCTTCAAGTAATAAAGAAGTTTTCTTCAAGTAATATTGAGAGCTGAGATGAAAATCAAATCACTAGCTTTTACTCTTACTTTTCGAACCGGAAGCATCACTTTCACCATCCTTTGTATCCGAGTCACTTTTTGAACTTCCAATCGATGACATTTCCCCATCGTTACCTTCATTGAAGTCCTTTTCTGCAATGTTGATTTCATCTTTTCTTGATGATTCTAGAAGGAAGAAGATGTATTTGCTTTAATTTTACTAATTTCGAAGAATTTCATTTCGCAGAAAGTGATGCAAACTGAAATTGCTGATTTTTTCATGTATAAGTTAAGTACAAAAAGTGTTAAACAATGGCATTATTGATTTTTTGTACTGATATTTTCATTCTCATATCTTTTGAAAAATGCAGTAGTTTAAATTTTTAGTTACTTGCACAAAGTAACTTCAAGATGTTACTTCCCCACGTTTCTCAACAGAACCGCAAAAATTTTTTCGTTTTCAAATGTGCAACAAGAAAATTCGTGTCGAAAGCCTCGTCCAGTACAAACTTTCTTTTTGAAATTCTGTTTCTTGAAAGAAAAAAAAAGAAATCAACAAGTGATTTGAAAACCAAATTAGATAGAGGAGATTTTCAATTGGAGCTTCATCTCGACGATTTTTTTAGCGAGTAAATAGGATATGGGAATGGGAAGAGAAATACAGGAAAAGAATAGAAGAGAGAAAGAGAGGGAACCGTATTTCTATTTTTGCAATAAATAACCTGATTACACGTCCGTAGAAACGTCGTTTTCTGATACGAACTCACGGTGGCTGACGGATCTGACAGACCGAATAACTTCTTATGATAAAATGATAACTTAGGTGATGATATAAAAGGAAGAAATATTTTTCCAGATAAGTAAATCGATTTTTCTTAACAATAAAAAATTTAATCATACATATTCAAATTCTAATTGAAATTCCTTAAATTCAAGTAGTTTTAATTTTCCGATCTGAAAGCACGACAAAATCAACAACTTCTAGCATTTATCATTTTTCCTTCAATGCGTGATTGAATCGAATGCTCTAAAAAATTCGCATTTTTTTCTGGTAAAAATTTTTTTCTATTGTCACAATTTTCTAAAAGTCACTCCTTGATATGTCGAGTAAAAAATTCAGTAAGTAAAAGAAATTAAGTTGGAAGATAAAAAAAGGGACTTAAAAAATGAGGAGCATAGTTGCATTAATAAGAAGGCATCATTACGAAATGACTGCATAAAAGAGAATTTGAAAACATTTTTTGTACTGACCTTTTTTATATCAATTAAAAACCTTTCTTAAATCAATTAAAAGAAAAAATTTATTACATTCAAATATTTTTACTTTTATCAGACTAAGGAATAATGAGAAATATACCTTGTCGTACAGCAAGATCAGCCGCGACAGTTCCTTGATGATCTGATATATTTTGGCTTCCGCTACTTTCCGCTGAGAATTCCGAATCCGAACCTACTGATGATGATGACATTTTTTCATAAAGTGACAGCAGATATCGTATATAATAATGAAATGATGAATACTATATTACAGGGCAAGCCGCTACTTTATACTTCAAATCATCGGTAAAAAGTATGAGAATTTCAACCTGAAGTTCGTTATTTTCTTTATCAAAATTTGCACAATTATTCATTTCAATGGTTTCGTGACACTGAAGGAATCCATGCAAACTTGTTTGTTTCGATGCCAACAATTTAGTAAGTTCATGAGGTAAGTATTTTTTCTTGCGGTCATTTTCCTAGCAGATAGTTATAAATAATATATGTTAGGAGAAACTAAGTGACCAGTGTGACAATATATAGCTATATAAATGATATCCAATTTTCCCGATGAGAGAGGGACGATGAACAGATATGATAATACATCCGATTCAGCTGTACCGAGCATCATCATATCATGTAACAGATCATTCTCATTTTTAAATCATTAACTTATCTATAATATTACCACATTCAACAGTAATCCATTTTAAAGATTTGTGAGAGGAAAAAACAAATGAATTTAATTATGTTGGGTTCTTTAAAAAAGTGGTACCATGAAAAAGAGAGAAACAAAGATGAGGGATACTATGACTGGTGATAACTTAGATAAATTGTGACGACCAAAAAGCAGCTTCTAGAAATGGCAATTTCTATAGATAAAATTTAAGAAAATTTTCACAATTTTGCGAAAATTATTATAGATACTTATTTCTTATAGAAAATTTCAAAAATCAAAATGAATAAAAGTACTTCAAAAATATTGGATCTTATAAAGTTTTTTTCAAAGAACTACAAAAACTACAAAAGATAGCATCGATTCTTACTTTGCAGTGAAAATATTTTGAAAAAAAGAATTAATAACAGTATTTAAAAATTGACATGAATTTAAGAGAAAAAATATGCAAAATTTTTAGTCAATTTATAACGGTAATTTTCATTTTTTTCTATTTTTTCTATTTGGCCCACAAAAAAATTGTTTTTTTACAGATTATTCAGCAATCGACTCAATATTCAGTCTTGGAACAATCACCAAAACATAAAGTATTGATAGAAGCCAGCCATTCTCTCTTATACATGTGCGAGAACAAATGTTATCGCCATCAGTGTTGGTTAAATTAGAAGAGTTCAGTTCTCCAATTTTCCGTCTTCACAAAAATAGTTCGCTTCTTAACCATCACACCATGCAACAAGCGTGATGCTATACATAAATTAGCTAATGGAAACAAGTTTTAATTATCAAAAATCTTCGTATTTGTTTTGAAAAAAATAAATAACACCATAAATTTCTTTTCAATTAAATTAAAATATTACATTTCCTTATTTTTCTGAAAGATCTTTAGATTGCTGTAATTACTGTAACTTCGCGCTATTAAAAGAACCACCATTATTACATGCAAATACCAAAACGGTATTTCAATTTTCGGATTATTGCGCTGCAACGTATGTCATCCTCGCACAGCAGAAAATCCGTCGGGATTGAGTAAAATCGCGGGGGTTAGGTTTGCGCGGGTAGGCTTTCATTCACTTTCGATGAAACACGATACATCAGCACAAATTTGACTGCCTGAGAATCAATTCTCATTTAGCAAAAGAAAGCAGAAACAGTACGGACCAAAATTTTGGAAAGATTCCAAAAATGCTGACCAAGTTTTGGAGATTATTTCTGGAGAGTAATTCCATTTGAATTTGAGACTAAGCTGGGATGGTGAAAGAAGAACTGAAGGAACAATGAATAGCGAAGATTAACTCGTCTATAAGCCAGCAAGAAACCTAAAACACCCACTTCGTCCTGTTCCATTCATCCATATGAGTTACCAAGAGTTCCCAAATTGTTAATAACACCAAAGTAGGCTGAAGCGGTAAAGATCCCGAGATTCGTGGCAAAGCTAGAATGATGATCTGTCCACATGAACTATTATAGCGATAAACCACTTAACTATGGACATGTGTCAGATACATTATTGACTTTCACAATGTTCTCAGAAATTATTACCTAACATATCCCAGAATAAAAATATCCGTTTAGCCTTATTAAGGAATCACAAGCAACACGCAATTCATATCGCTGCAGAACGATATGGCACACGCACACACATACGCACACATACTGATCATACATAAATTTCCGATGCGCCGAATTAGCAATCAATAAACAGTTACTACACCAACAGAGACCAAGGGACTCGTAGAATCTAGCGGGATTAGTGTTTCGGAATCTCGAAAAACTCTCAGAGCAGAGATAGTAAAGAAACGTTGGGATCCATAGAAACTATTTCCGATCGTCCAAAATCCTGTAAACTTCTCCAATGACCTCAGGAGCATCATAACCAACACCGCCATCATCACCACCATTGCAGAAAGAAAGGACGCGAAACGCGAGTCGCAACGCAACACAAAACCCAAACGTTATTGAAGTGGGAGAAGCAAGATATTCCAAACGGGACACTTCCAGCTACAAAATGAATAAGCGGAATTTCAAATTTGTCAAGTTCCTCTTCCCTCTCTTCCATGGATTATCTTGGGAAGTTTTTCAACTCCTTCACTTTCTCCTGGAATATTTAATGCGCAAAAATACAAGAATTTTAACAACTTTTCGAAAAAATTTATTTAAAATTTAAAAACCAGCGAAATAGAGGAAAGATACAACAACAACGGTAATATAGGATAAAAAAGAACCTAAGCTAGCGGAACAAATATTCCGAAGTAATTATGAAGCAGCCTAAGGCACTGGAATATCATTTTAAAACGTAAAATTGTCTAAGTGAACTAAAAGATACGCAGAAATTCAGCTCCATGGAATGATTTATATATCTATCCAACAGCAAAACTGAGATTATATGGGTTCCACGTAAAATCGCAATTTATCATATCACCTATGACCGAACAATGAATGTTGAAGTATTTGGTATCTTAAGAATGAGAACGGAAGAAAAATCAGGACACAAAAAAAGTTATTAGCATGATTATTAATCATTTAAATGTTCTGGATCGGCAGATAATCGACAGTGTAGCGGCTTTCGAATTTGGAGAATTGAAAAGATATTTTTCGCAATCAAAAATGAAACAAAATAAAGGTGGAAAAGGTACAACATATCTTTCTGGAACTAAGCTAACAAAACAGGCAAAATCTGTCAAATTGCGAAAAGATTTTGAAGCTGGATATATTTTTGTATCTGAATTTTCAACTTAAGATCGAGTGAATGATAAAATAACACCCACTTAAGTAGTACCTGATTCCAGAATTTGAAATTAAAAAAATATATATACTCAATAAATTAAACAACAATTAATTAACATTAACCGACAACAGATTGCTGTAATAAGTTCGCTAAAAAAGCGAACTTAAAATCCAACGTTCTTCATTTTACGCTCGAAAATTACTCAGCCTCAGGTCTAACTATAATTCTGGTCCTTTACAATTCTTCCTTCTTCTTCTTCGGTTTTCCATCTCTCTTGTATCCCTTCAATTCTTCCGTTGCATGCTTCGCAATATATTTGATAAAATCATCCACTTCCCGACCGCCAGAATACGGTTCTGGTTTATTCTTCCTATTCTTCGGTACCCAATAAAGAGTTGGAAATCTGTAATAGGAACAAAAAAATCAAAGCAAGAGAAAGTTTCAACCCCTCCAATTATATAGCTTTATCTCAGTAAAATTTGGATGAAACTTCAACAAATATTGCATAAGTCGTTATAAAATTGGCATTATTCTAGGCTTGGTCGAATGACGTATTATTTGAAGAAAGAAGGAAATCCAGGTAGAAAATGAGGGATGTTCAAGGGAAGTGAGAGATGTCAACTGAATTTATTATAATTATCAGAGACTAAACACAAGCATGGGAATATGATAATAGACAAATCTTAATAACATATTATATGAATGGGCATAAAGATGAATCAACATGAATTCAATTACGCAGCTGTCGCGCTGTCATTTCCACCACCAAAGTTTAAGAGCCAGTCAGCCAATTTGGCAATGCAAAAAGCAGATCATGGAAATCATTACGCTAACATAAATGGATAAATTTTGAGGATTTAGCAATAAATTAAAGAGAAAGTTTGGATGCAAACGAAAATAGGAAGCAATCAATTGTAATCTATTGGCCTAACTGAATTTCTTTTCCTGTGCAAGGCATGTTTGCTGTTGGTGTCCACTGGATCAAATCATAATGAATGCGTAGAAAAGTGAGTTTTAGTACAACATAATTACTTCTTAAAAGTGGAAGTTGTCCAATCAGATAGAAGCGCAAACAAAACATTTCCCACTGCATGTAAGGGCTAGCATATGAAGCGCGAAGAGATAGGAAAATTTTCATTTTCTTCTAATGGACTTCTAGATCTGTAGTGCTGAAGAGGGGTAAATGGGTTGCACAACAAAATCCAATCTAGTTGCGATGCAGTAATGTTGAAACGTATAAACAAAACTGCTGGTTATCTTAAGCATATGAAAAAAAACTATCATTTGCTGACCAAGCCAAGTGTTTCAAACCGTCGAAGACTTAAATAAGTAAAATAGTAGAGATATATGATTGAAAGGATGAATCGTTATCGGAAATGTAAGCCGATCATATTAATGTACATTTATATAATCACTATTAAGTTTCTAGGATATTACAAACCGCTTGCAACTCCCACTTTTTTAAAATAAATCAATAAAATGAATACTGTAGTGATAAAAATAACGCTTACCCTTGCACTTCGAATGGCGGTGGTACGTCATTTGCCGTTGCATCCATTTTCGCAATGACAACGCCTGATTCGCCGGATAATTTTTGGCCTAATTCATCATATTTCGGTGCGAGTGCCTTGCAATGTCCACACCATGGAGCATAGAATTCGATCAAGACATCTTTCTTCACATCAATTACCATTTCTTGGAATGTTTTAGCAACAACAACCTAAAAGTCTCAAATAAATAATGAGAAACAGAAGCGATATTCAGCGACTGATTCACAAGATCACCCTAATTTTCATTTTGAAGTAATTTCGAAAAAAGCGAACAAAAAAATATTTGAAAATTGTGTAACGAATTAGTAAGCGAACAAATAATGAAATCTATATTTAAAAAAATACTATATTGGTTTATATTAGCAATCGAAATCTCGGTAATCGTCAAAAGAGACCCCATACGAAAATTTAAAAACGAAGGAATTTATAATCTTATAGTGAAATTTTTGAGACCTAGTTGTTAGCAATATCGAAAACGCAAAGAAAAAATTTTAAATCGATTCAATCCGATGACAAAGATAATTCACAAGTTCATGAAAACAGACCTTAACATCACCCTGTTCTTCAGGTGGTTCTTCGCTTTTCATGTGAGGCTCTAACCTATCATTAACAACATCGTCGACAAATTTTCTTAAATTCTCCACACTGAAATCGTTTACATTATTATGCACAAATAAGACGAATCAGAGCCTCAAAAATTAGCTTTATCATTTTAATTATCTTTATGGATTTATCTCTTCTCCATCCACTAGAAGTTGAGGTTTCTCCCTCTCTTCAAATATTAGCTATCATTAAATCATAATCCAATTTATTGCCAGATAAAGTTAGGAAATCTCACAAAGATCACATGTCACAACTACCTTCATTGAAGGAATTCAGTGACAGCCATACTCAAACTGTCTTGTTTTTGGCGCTTCTTTAGTGAAAACGAGGGAAAGTATGAACATGAAAAGTAAGTATACATGCAGCAGTCAAAATAATTACCTGAACTCTTCCTTCATGAAGAATTTGCCCTTCTTACTACGTGCAGCAACAAGTGGTTTAGTATCTTTACGATTAGCTAAACCAAATTCATCAAGGTCCTGAAATCAAAATACGTTTTAATAGTATATGTTTTAATAATACGTTATAATATCTAAAAGAATTTTAAAATTTACTATAGTTAAACAATGAACTGTACAATCAAAGTTTTCTTAACAATCAAGTGAATGATGCTTCATCAATGGAACAAGTTACATCATTTTGAAAACCGACAAATGATACCTATAGAGAGAGGGAATACAGTTGACTGCTATGAATAAAAACTTTCTATCAGAGAGAAAATCAGTTCATTAAAATTCAAAAAATAATAAAGAATACTTACAAAGGAGAAATCGTCCTTGTTACTTATAGCAAAATATGCTTTCCTTCTATAATCCTTTGCAACTATAAGAACGCGATTCCGCCAATAATTAGACCCTAAAACAACTTCTGTACTATAATAATGGATCCAATTTGCATGACAGATATCGTTCTATCTAAAAGAAGAAAAACTAATAAGACCTTTTGGATCCAAGTCATAGTCAATCTTGCTGTATACAACAAACATTGGAAGTTGATCAAACTGATACCGATTTTCGGAAGTTCGTATACCAACAAGTCCATTCCTATAAATCTTTTTTGATTAAAAACTGTTCAAAAAATTAAATAAGGGAGTAGAAGTTTTCGAGAAAATAGAAAAAATTTGAAGCGCAACAATCATTTTGCGAGAATTTCTATTACGCTTACCACGGATGAAAATGCTCAAATAAAAATAAAAAACTTCCATCTCTGTTGTGTATTGCAGAACCCAATTTCGAAAAAATAATCCTAAGAACTACTTCTACACTTTTTGTATTTTTCATTTTATGATGTGATCAGAAGCGGAGGAAAAGGGCAGACCAAAACTAAATTACCGTACGTTTCATGTAGAAGAAATTCTTTGATTTTGTCTGTATCGTAATTCCCATCGTATTTGAATCCATCCGGTTCAAATTTATTGTGAAACTTCTTTGGTTGATACGCAACAATATCACTGAAAAATAAAACTATCACTAATTAAAATCAGTGAATATTTAAAGTTGATAATATTTAAACGATATAGAGATAGGATGGCGCAAACTCATTGTATCCATTTGATTCCAGAATTTGTTTATTCGAAGTCCATACAAACTTGAAACGATCTCTTTCTGTATCTGCAACTTTTAAGAACGAGTCCTTCAACTTGCTGTCTCCTTCGAAAAATCCTAAAAATTATCTTAAAACAAGCTTACGATACATAAAAAAACAAGAGGAGCAAACCCTCAGACAACAGTAAAAATAAGATTAGTAAGTAGTTTCTGATGCTTTGCAACTTAAAGCTAACAAGCTGCGTATGTATAAAAAAAACAGAATCACACTATTATTTGACACTACAGCGGGACTGACTGTGTCCCAGATTTTGGATCCTGACGAAGTCTGAAACAAAGCAAAGGATTTACCACAAATCGTAATATCGTCTGCTTCCCGCATTTTTTCGAATTCTTGTACTGTGTTAATTTCTGTGGCTGATGGACCTGCTTGTCCTCGCATATACTTCACAATACCATCTGCAACTCGTGGACCATCATAATCCTGAGCTAGCTCACCCTTACGGAAAATTTTTAAAGTTGGAAAGCCACTAATACTGAATTCGTCACAAATTTTCTTTTCCTCTTTGCAGTCGACCTAAAAAACATTCATAACTTAAAATGAAAATCTGCGACTTGCAATTTCCACAGATTGCTGTCTCAGAAAATTATAATCGAATAATTTGAACTTCACAATAAATTCAAAAACCAATTTGTCTTTATATCCACCATCTTAAACTAGAATAACTGCTAATCTTTCTTCTATCTAATTATCAATTGAATTACAGATTCCATAGCTCATTTTTTTTTCATCCGGTATAATAATATTTTTAAGACCAGCCAAAAGTTCGTAGACATCACACTTCTAAGTTCATGCTATTATCACTTTTGTATAATGATTAAATACTTGCGCCAGGTTTTAGGAAGTTAACATAACATTCATACATTCATATTTGCAGTCCACTTCACATAACATTCATATTTGCAATCCACTTCACACTTTCACTTCCATTTAAATTTACATTCAGTTCATCTTAGAACACAAAGAAGAAAACTATGTGATTTGACAGTCATTTCTGCAACGAAATAGTGTTGCGGTCATTTCATCATTATTGTTTCCCAGTAATTCCATGAACTTTTGAAGATCTGCGAACTTTCAAAAAAGACTTTTCAAGATTCTTCCTCATTGCAATTATGAATCGCACTAGCTATATAAATTTAATTTTGAAAAATTTTCTGAAACTCTGTAACTTACCAATCGTTCGTTCGGATTATGGATGCATCTCAATATGAGATATTTGTTTGCGTAAAAAAAGAAAAAATCACCTCCGCTAAATGAATGGGTGGATCATTCTGCAAAAGTTTTGTTGCCGCCTTTTCAAATTCCGGAGCCAGCTTTTTGCAATGTCCACACCTAAAAAATAATAGGGCAATTTTTAAAGTGTTATCAAGAACTTTTTGTCTGCATACAATCCGCACGAGATTTAGAAGAAATAGAATCCAGAATGTACGGATGCAACTTTGCAAAAAAGTGGAAAACTAACTAGAAACTCTAAGGCACTCAAGTATAAAAGGACAAAACAAAAGGCCGCATAACTAATCATTGTTCTCTCACCATGGTGCATAAAATTTCACAAGTAATACATCATATGATTTGATTCCTTCCTTGAAATCAGCATCTGTGAACTTTATCACATTACCATCGGTACTTGCTGTTGGCAATAGCAACAATAAGAATGAATTGAAAAGCAGAGCAGAATTAAATAACCTCAGTAGTGCCATCTTGAAAATTCGCCAAATACCCAGAAATACCCAAATCCTGCAATGCCTACACATTTATATATTAAAAAAATTCGGAAAAAAGAAGAGTGAATAAGAATGCGACACTACTGTATGGCAGTCTGACGTGTTTTTCCGAACGATGTACCAAATCTCACGTTTCTGTCTTCTTTTATTTCTCTACTCATCATATCACTCTCAAAATGTCGTCAAGTAACGTGAAGATATCAAGTGACAGCAACAGCAACAGTTCTTAAAATCAGTCTATCGTAGGTAAAGCATTCATTCCAAAGTAAGTTACTGGATGGTTAGGAAAAATGTTTGAAACAAAACAAAATTCTGAAACGTGATGCTTTCCAAAACTTTGTGATTAATTTCTTAGAACCTATAGATTCAAATTTATTTCACAACAAGAAACGAAATATCAATATTCAAAAACATCAAACAAGAAATAAAAATTATGCACTCGTCCCTTATTAAAGCTTTGGTTTGTCTATCCTAACGATGAAATCATTTAAGATTTAGTACGTACAAACCAATGACAGTAAAAATGGAAATCCTCATGTTGCAACATGAACCTTTATTTTTATGTGTCGGCATAATTTATTTAAGCAAGACACGAAAATGTTGGACAAATTAAAGAGTGAATGTATGATGCTAAATTAAATTGATTAGAAATATAACCACAGAAAAAGTGTATTGGAATAGGAGAGGAAGAGAAAGGGGCCCATCATTTCACAAACTGGATGAAAAAGAGCTTCCAGTAAATTGTCAGCTAATGCATAGAATTTTCCAGATGTCTAACTTCTATGACAAGTGTATGCTTAACTGACGGAACTAAGCACTATTATAATATACATACACAGACGGTAATCTACGCTTTTAAATCCGGTGATTTTTGAATCAGATTTTGAATTTCATAAATTCACCTGAACAAAATCGACTTGAAATAATGTTAGCTTGCTGGAACTCTCCTTTCCTCCCTTTCCCTCTCCCTCTCTCTCTCTCTCTCTCTCTCTCTCTCTCTCTCTCTTTCTTTCTCATCCTTGCTGTATACTTTTATTCATTGTACACTTCTGAAAAGCACCGTAAACTACTTAATGTATTCTATACATTATGAAAGAGTTTACATCGAAATGTTCTCTCTCAGATTGATTCCTTACTTTTGTCTACACAAATACCATCATCAGCAATGATAACGGCAATTAACATAGTATCAGTTTACTGAACCATTTTGCGGCAAAATGAATTTAAGTTATATCAAATTTATCCCAAGCATACAATAATTCCCTCATTTATACAGTTAAAAAGAGGTAAATAATATGTCCACGGCAATTAAGTTACACTGCATTGGATGCCGTTTTATTTTAATATGCTAACAACTCTTTCTGTAACGACCTGAATCTGTTTCTCACATGAGAGAAGCTGTGGAATTCTGGGATAACTTTAAATTACACAAGCTTACTCACCGAGAGTTCGGCTATATGCCTGCAATTTCATTTTATACTTTACCTTCCCTATTTCCTTTCAATTCTTTCTTCTTCTATCTTTCCTGAAATTTGCCTATGGAATCGTCTCTCGAAGGAACCCCTAATATTCTTGCTGCAAATGACAAATTTCTCGAAAACTGCACTCGTAAAATTTCTCGAAAACTACATTCGTAAGTCTAAAATTGACAAGAGAAGAGTAAATGATCATCTAAGGTTAGTGTCACGGACCACGGCTGTGAAGTTTTGAGAAAGATGTAATTTCCCATGGATGACATTTTCCCGAGAATTCTCAAAGCATGTCTGGAAGAAAAAGGGAATATGGAGAGAATAAAATGTGAGCTCCGAAATTAACCACGACGTACCGTCCTCCTCGTCACCTCCCCTCGCAAATGGTCGATCGAACCGCGTCGCACACTCGTGCGTTAGCGTTGAGCGTCCGAGCTGTGTTACGCTCTCATTGGTTGGCTTCTTTTCTGCTACGTCATGCTCCACGTACAACCAAATTGCTATAGAATGAGCTGCAAACATGCACATCAATTACGCCATTTGCGCTCCCATTTGAATTGGGTAAATTGGTACGATGAATTGTTCGGCAATTAAACTTTCCGTAAACTCAATTCTGTCATTTGAACAAAAATAGCTTGATAAAATTGCTTAGCAAACAAAAATTGAACAGTTTACATATTTGTCTGGCAAGTAAATGCAAAAAGTTATCGTGGTTTTAGCATTACTGCTAAAACAGAATATATATTTATCCGACAAATAAGGCTTTTTGTGACTCGAAAATGGCATGAAATGCAGCATCATTTATGACTTAAAAAAATCATTAAGAGCACTTTCTAAATGTGTGATATTCAACGAGGAAGTGATTTATTGAAGGAACGAGTATTTTGATTATTTCCCGATAAAACATTAATCGTCAGTAAGCGATCCCGATCCGAAGCCACTTCAAGATTTGAGTTCATTTAGTAACTGTTGTGGATCTTTCCATTAGTGACAGTTACTAATAACAAACAGAACAATCTGCTGATGCATTGCGTGAAATTTCACCAATATCATCTAGAAATTTAGTGAAAAATAAAATAATTGAAGAGAGTTAAACAATTTCTAACTTAGTTCAGTATACTTTCTTTTTCTACTCTCTTCACGAATTAAATTTCAAAAATAAGTTTTTTACAAAAATCATTTGATATTTCCCCTACGGAATAAAAATTTCGACCTTATTTCTATTCTAATTTATCATTGCTTGTGCAGTTTCCTTTTTTACTTTTGGAAAAATATTGTTTCAGAAATTTTGCAGTGAAATAAAGTAATAAGGAAGGAAATATGAGGGATTAATTTAGGCCGAGGTTCCCTCTTTCCCTTCAATTTCAATCCCAGGCTCCGATATTCACTTCTGTTTGCTATTTTAGAATGTCTCCGATATTCCGCCTCATTTCTATTGTCTGGCCAAAATTATTTGGAGCTTTCAAATAATATCTATTGCGATTAATTAGATGTTAGTAATTAGATTATCGAGCGGAGAATAATTTTTAGATGAGCAGCGAATTGCTTCTATTCCATTACTTCAAGCAATGATCTAAAATAGAGATGCCGAATTCCTTATGCATCTCCAAACGAAAATTTATCCAGGTTTTCTATCTTAAAATTTAATTCTAAATTCCATAATTTTCCAAGACTTTCTTCTTAAGATCGATGAAACAATTTCCAAGAACAATTGAAAAAAATCTACTGGACAGTTTTGAGATTTTTATCATTTTAAAATTTATTTCTAAATGTTAAAATGTGATTACCAATTTTTCTTCACAACAATAATTCATTCATTTTTTCATTTCAAATTTCAGTTCACAAAAATGGCTTTGCCACACTGTGGCTTATACTTCTTTATTTTTTTGTATCTAATGGCCGGAGCATGGACATTTGCGATGTTTGTTGAATTTAAATTTCTTTTAAACCGATTGATTCTATCTTAGAACTCTCACAATTAATTTGTTGACAACAAAATTTAGTTTCCATGAAATTTTTCTAAAATAAATAAATTCGTTACAATTCAATGAACTTAATCGAAATCGATTTTCATAATTGTACATAAAGCGATCATAAAATTATTTAAAATTTTCAAGATCTATATTAAACTGAATTCAATCATTCAAATTTAATTCAAGGGTGGAGGATAAAGCAGATCGCGAGGAGCAACTGGGCAGATTGTCCAAGATTCGTAATATATATCGAAAGATTGCTGAAATCGCAAGTGAAGAATGTTTAATTGCGTCGAGACAGTTGCATTTTAGATCGCAATTATTCCGAACTCTTTCAAAGTAGACAAATTTGGTTCTTTCTCTTGAAATATTGCAGCATGAGCATTAAGAAGATGAAATGAGTTCAATAATACCGTTCCTCTCTTTTATCTTTTTCCGCTTCCTTTCCTCTTTAATTTACTGATTGTTTAAAAGGAATAATTGAAAGAAAAGATTTATTTGCATGTTATCATGCTTTATGGAAGGACGCGATTTTTTGCTTAATCCCGATGTTGACCAACTGGAAGAATTGGTTTCACCAAAATGGACTGCAATACCTTCAATTTTATATGCGTTATCGATTCTGGTATATGCTTCAAGTTTTATTTCATATTTCATTTTTAATTGGATTCAAAAACATACACCACTTACCGCATGTAATTAGTCATATGTTTAAAGCAATATATTACAAATAAATTCTGGTACTGATGCTTTTTTGAATTAATTAGATTTAAATTGGCTAATTTTTGAAATTTCAGACAACAACAGGATATTTATCGGCCGTACCAATGACAAAGCTTGGACAATTTATTGCTATAGTTTATGGATTGGTGGGTATTCCATTAATGGTACTGGCAGCGGTTGATATTGGACATTTCTTATCCGATATCGTCTTACGACTTTACCGAAAAGTAATGTCATCCAGCCAAAACTTTGAACTGTTTTTGAAATAAATAATATTTATTGTTTTGCAATGACTTAACTGTTGACAAAATTTTCACAAAAGTCCCTTCCCTTTAAAATTAGAAATTTGAAGAATTCGTTTCTTTTTTTTGCTTGACATGATTATCTCATTTGCTTTGTTAAAAATGCCTACGCATCTATTCTAAAATTATTTTTTGAAATATTATAGTATTGCATGATGAAGCATAAATTTGCTAGAGCATGCGGCTGTTCGGGAAAGAAGCGATTTATTACGGAATTAATGGAAGTAAAGGGTATTCCACATGTATCAAAAATTCGGTTAGTGAAATATTTCGATGAATAAAATTTCGTAGTGTTTAATGGAACAGTTGATTTCTTTTAGGCTAAAATGTTCATCATCTATTAGCACCGATATTTCCTGAAATATTAAATCGAAAACCGTAATGTTTGTTGCAGGAAAGGGGAGAGAAAAAGTAAGGAAGTGGTAGTGACGATAAAGGACGGCAGTGCTGAAGTGAAACGTTTACCTTTATCCGTGAATGCTTCCATCCTATTAGTCTTTTGCATGCTTGGTGGCATGTGTTATATTGCCGTCGGTGAGACAAACTTATAAGAAATTTGTAAATTAATTACTTACAACTATTAGGAAGTATTCAAGTATAAATGTGTCAATTTATGAGCCGAATTCAATTTCAAATATTTCAGTATCCAGACAGTAACGCAAGGGATGTGTTTTTGGCGTTAAAATTTATTGTTTCATTCAATTAATGAAAATGCGGTTTCGAATTTACTGTATGATTCTTTTCAGGTGGTCAAAAAAGTTTTCTGGAAGCATTTTTCGTTACATTCAACTTAGTAGCCAATTTAACAATGGCTGAAATGCCTAACGATCTGAATAATATTTTGACATTTTTCTACATTCTGATCTTTGTCACATTTGGTAACTGAAACTTTTTTCTTCTTCAATTTAACAAAAACTGATGCTAACCCCAATCAATTAATCCTTTGCTGCTTACTACTGGTAAATAAAACGACTGACATTTCAATACAATATCCGTGCTAAAATATGAAATGAAACTTGTCATTTTTATATTATTACACAATAGGAAAACATATTACGTCGGAGATGCAAAGCAGACAAAAATTTCTCAATATGTAAATCTTGATTCTAAATTTTAAACATTTGAGATGTGACTGCAGCGATCACAACTTTGCCTGATTTAAAATAATTTATCTTCCAGGCAAAATTATTTAAAATTAGAATTCAGTAAACTTCCTTCAAGTTATTGAAAACCCGACTTCTGAACTGAACAAGTACTAGAACGATTCAAGAATTTTAAATTGTATCAGTCCTTGTCACGATGAGGAAATATAATTTGTTGAATATTTTAGGTCTGGCGGTACTATCCATGTGCGGCAATTTGGCAGCTTCTGAATTGAGAACTGTTTTTATGAAAATTCATTATTTTGGCCGAAAAATTTCCTGGCGAAAAATTTCCAGACAACAACAATTGAAGGAAAAACAAGTAGTTTTAGCAGTTATTGTTATCACAAATTTAGATCACATAGATTAAAGTTACATTTATAAGCTATAAATTAGTGAAGCAACTAGCGATATTTTCTTGATAAAATATTATCGCTAGTTGCCTGTGATCAACAAAATTGCCGACTGAGGATTTCAGTTTAAGGTCATCATATTGGTATAACTTAATTTTTTAAGATAGAACTTATCGAAATGCTCAAAATTATTATTGCAATTCGCGAGTTACATCCCGAGAAAAACAATATAACTTCAGAAGATATCATAGGGGTTTGTTCTTTTCATTGTTATTTTTGCATTTTTAGAAGTGTTAACGATGAGTGTTGCGCACAACTACTAAGCTTAAGCTTAATTATTGAGTAAACTCTTTTCTAAGCCATAGGAAACACTAATCAAGAAGGCATCACCGGTGGCCAGTTAGTATTTTATATTACCTCGAGGATAAGTAGTACTGCCTTGGTTAGAATCCATTAAGACAATCTCTATAATAAAATAGACCAAGTTCCAACAATTCTAATAAAATAGATAATAAAATAGACTTTTTTTCTCTTAAAATAGATTAAGTTCTTCGACAGACGAATAAATGCATTCACAGTGCGAAAAATATTTGCTGCAGATATTGAATGAAATGCAACACAATTCATTTTGTTCCAATCTTTGCAACCAGAAAAAACGACGTGATACAATCGCATTTACGCCACAAAGCTTCGAAGCTCTGCGATTTGCGGATGAGCTTGACGTGGATGACACAGTATATTGTGTTTTGTCCCGAAATCATTTATTTTTATAAACTGACATATGACATATCGGTTTTCCAATCCTCTAAGTGATATTTTGACGTATCGTTTGAACAATATCTGCAAATAAAAATTGAATTTGTTTTTTTTGAGCCATACACTGCACATGCTTTCTTAAGTTTGCATCAAATAGATAAGTCGAATGAGAATAAAACTGATGCAAGTGCTAAAATTAAGCAATTCCCAAAACATTAAGTGATTCTTTCCGTAGATATACACATCATATCACAATTTAAAATGCGTTTACGCCTGATACGCCATGCATAAAACCATTTCTACTGTTACATTTTTTGACTTTCGTTTAAAAACTGCAACAGATATCTTCCATATAGTTAGCTGGTGCGCAGTGCAATCAACAAGAATGATTCTTTAGGCACAAAATTATTCAAGAAGTAATAAGGTAAAAAATGAGCACACGGAATATTTCAAATAGGCTTATGTGCCATTCTTCAACAGTAGTAGAATTCATCATATTCAACCTACAACACATAACCTTATAAAAATGACTTCTACACACAAAATATAGCAAAATCCAAAGAAACAATCCCTAATTCTAACCAGCACAGCACCGAATTTAACATTTAAGAAGAAAATCCGAAAAGAAACTTTCCTTCTGAAGCATTACTTTCAGTAAGTTTGTAACTTGCTTATTTACAGTACAAAATCGAAATGTGAAGCTACAATGCAAATGCTTATAATCAAAAATTTTCTAACGTTCAGTAATTTCACATCTCATATAACAAGTTATTGAAAAATTATAAATTCATATTATTTGTTATCCTTAAGATATTTTTGTAATTGATTTAATAATTCGAACGCGACCATATTTGGGCAAAATTGTGGTATTTTCTTCGCAAACTGCATAAATATTTCTATTTTCTGTCCTTTCACTGATGTCAGGAGAAACGATAGATGGCTCTGTTTCATTTGCAAATTGATGGCTATCAGGAAGCTGTTGCTGTTGTTCGTTATACCCCAATCGAACTCCATCATTTTGATCAAGATAATATACTTCATTTGCTTGCACAAAATAATTTCTTTCCAATGCAACGACCTCATCGGTCCCATCAATTATCACCTTAAAAAATTGGACATTTTGAAAAACCAAAAATTTCAGGAGAAAAAAATTATTTGCATGATGTATTGCATAATTGAGAAAGATTTCGAAAACAATTTTCCCAAAAACTAAGCAGTCAGTAAAATATATTTTAATCAGACAACAGGAAGAGAAATAATCAGAAAAAGGAGAATTACTTTTGCTAATAGTACTTATCATTTTCACGATAATGATTTTTCTGGCTTATTTCTCTAATCTACTGTTATAATACATACAATACCACAGATTACATCTTGTACATTTATTTCTTCTCTTTTAAGAAATGCATACCATAAATTCCAACAATTCATTTAAACAATAACGAATCTTTACGTATTTTTTTTGAAATAAAATTCAATATAGCTGAAACGAGGATAAAACAGCAACCTGCCGACAGCTTTCTTCATTTATCAAGTCATCATCTTCCTCTCCTTTTGCAATTCTAACATCGGCACATTCTAGCATCTCATTTTCGTGATCGATATTAACATACTGTTCTTCAGCCTGATGAAATTGAATTCAGAATATCAGAAGTATCCGAATATTCAATGCAATCATTTCTGTTGATGGTGTACAATTTGTCAACAAACAAGCTCTCAGAAAAAATTTATGATGTTATCACTTAATTTACCAGCCACTGTTAGAATTCTGGGAAAAAGAAACTCAATAATTATATAAATACATAGAAAATTCAGTTTCTAAAAAAAGATAGAAGTGATGATAACGAACCTGTTCCCCAGTTAAAGTTCTATCTCTCGTCCAAATTTTCTCTATATCATCGCTATCCGGTCTGCAAACATGCAACTTTCTTTGAACAGAATATCGTAACGAAAGAAATGAGAGAAAAATTGATTCAGTTAGCTAAAATATTTCAAACAAAAATATGGAAAAAGATTCAAAAAATCCCCATCTTTCTTTTTGTATTTGAAGTATTATTCTTTGGTTCCGTAAGAATTATGGAACAGAAGGATGATTTTTTTGATACCCTATCCCATCCGTTAATGAAAATTCATTTTAAAAATACTAAAATTTCGTTTTTTTTTGAAATCTCACAAAAACTTGGACGTCTTTTCTAGAATTTACAGCCGTTTCGTGAATTTATAACTTCAAGATAATGAACTTTAAAAGCTCACATTTCAGAAGACCACATTGTACTCCCCCTGGTTTTTTCTCTATCTTGTTTTACCATGTTAAGGACAGATTGGATAGCATTATCAGCTTGTTGTGTAACATCCTTGTGCTCTTTTGCTTGGTGCATTATCAGATAACGACGTCGTGTAAACATTCTATGACAATTATTAATTGAACAACGATATCTGAAAAATGACTTGCCTTCCAGTTGACAAAAGCAATTCTATTTTAAATTATTTAACGGTCCTTTCTATTTCCTCTTCAACATTTATGAGCAATGAAACCTCCAAAGTATCCGTACCTTTTAATGCCTGCGTGTACGATTCGTTCATGTTCATTACGAGCCGACACTGAGACGAAACGCCGTCCACACTCCCATGTGCATTCAAATGGCTTCTCACCTAAAATTATTTCTGTAAAGTTCTGACAATAAGCTGTGAAATTTCATTTATTTCAATGTTTTTCATTGCGTTACGAAAAATTTAAAAAGATTCGACGAGGTAACATTGAAATAATATTCTGTAATCTATTTTCAATAAGATATATCTCATATATTCAATTTGTAGTATATTTTATTCAATACAATAAGATGCAATAACAGTTCGAACTGCACAAATGAAATTGGAACTGTTTCATTGTAACTTCCTAAATGGAACAATTGCTCCAAAAAACTACAGCTCCAAAAAATTGCACTGTAATAAGTAAATCATGATATGGATGTGAATATATGATTTAAACTCTAAAAAGCTTTATTGCTCATTGTAAAATCATATACTGCTGATTTATAGTGAAGTATTTTTTCTTAAAGTGACAAATAAAAGCTGGCCTGTATGTGCACGTCGAAAGTGCACCCTCAATGGATTAGCAGTTGCAAATCGCATCCCGCATAAAGCACATTCGAATGGACGTTCACCCGTATGTGTTCGCATGTGTGCTTGAATTTTGGAAGGATGTTTCAAAAGCAAACCACATTGCTGACATCGAGCTATCAAAGCTTTTTTTCGGTGTACTTTAATTTTTTGCTCCGTGGGAAAAGAATTTGAAGCAATAATCTCATCGAGTACCTACATTAGAAAGACAAAGTTTACACACCGACAGAAGCCTTTAATCAAAATTTTCAAAAAGTTCTAATAAAATGACTAAAAGTTTAAGAACCCATTAAACAAATTTCAATATAATATTTTTACTATTATATGTTTCAGAAAAAATTTATGAAAAGCTGCTTTCTCTTAAAAGGAAGAAACATCGAATTTGTTATACCTCATTCATTTGTCTATTTTCAATACCCAAGTTTAATGATATTTGTTCATTACAACGTGTGTGACAACCGGAAACTCTAGCAATTCTTTCATTGTTATCAGTTTTTTCAATTATGTTTGTAGGCAATGAACACCTTGGTGGCTTGAGATGAGGCCGAGGTGGGCCACGTCTAAAATTCAAAATATTCCGTCAGCCAAAATAGCAATTAAATATGAATGTTGAGAAAAAATTCAAGATGTTAATTACAGTAATTTAAATTTGAAATAAATTTATCATTTTGTAAATTAAAATCAAACCTTTTAGCTCCCATATGAGTTTTCAATTCATGCGCATTCTTCAATGCATTTGAAACGAAACGTTTACCACATCCCCACGAACATGCGTAAGGAGTTAGGCCCATATGACGTCGTACATGCATTCGCATTGGTGTACGCTGTGTAAACCTGCAAAGATTACATAAATATATGTTGCTCAAAAAAATGGACAACTGCAATTGAAAAAGATAAAACAATACGTATTTTAAAGAAATCTAAAAAAAAATACAGACCTTGAGCCACAAATCTGACATTCAAATGGCTTTTCACCAGTGTGTGTCCGTCGGTGCGCTTCAATTTTCGAAGGATGCTTAAGAACAACGCCACAATATTCACAAGTGACTATCTAAATAGAAAAATGAAAATTTTAAATTATGAACGAAAATGTTTTGCTCACAGCGGAATTTCTCAGAATGAGAAACACATTTCACAGTCTTGACTGCATTCGCTTAGTTAGTTGTCATTTAAAGAATAAAACTGCTTAAGAGATATAAAATTTCATTTTAATAGGTCTAACCACACAAAATGTATAATTAATGAAAAAAATCTCAATCCTGCATTATATCTTAGTCAACGTACAGTAGCCTTTTTTCTGGAAGATGAAGGTGTCACTGAGAGCCACTTTTGTTGAACAGTAATATTGCTCATCGATGCTGAACTCGAAAAACTCTAAATTTTTTACAATTTTTGTAATATTTTCAACTTGAAATTAAGTAGTCTATGGCAGTCTACGGCCATAATTTTATTACTATATTAATAATCACTACTATTTTACTACTGCTGTAATAACTCATGAAAACCATTTAAAAAATACATCAATTAGAACCATATTAATTGATTCAGCTATACAGCAGAGCATTCTTCTGATGAATGTCTGAGAGAAATCAGCAATGTTAATTATCCAGAAACAGAGGCAGAATGAACTGTTCTTGTCATAAACTCAGAATCCCATTTCATTAAAAAACGCAGGATTCTGCCTGCTGGCCAATTTTACGATGTAATTCATGGCCAAATTGATTCACTAAATATCATTCTAAATAAAAAGTTTTATCTAAGAATTATAAGTGTTAACCAAATAATTTTAGGAAATTGAAGAAACTCACATCACTTAGTCCAGTCCCGAAGTGAGATAAATCAGCACTGGCAACATCATCGATGATAGCAGTGAGCCGTGAGTCAGCATCAAAAGCTTTTGCCAGTGAACTGGTAAGCATAGGATCATTGGCGGATAAGTAATCATGTTCTAGTGACGGTCTTCCCAGAGTTAAATCAAAGCATACATCATCTTCCACATGTGAACAAGTCATTTCACACGCCTCATTTGCATCTTCCAGCATCTCAAAATCGAAAAAAAATTAATTACTAGATTCATGATAAATCACCGTGAAAAACAATCGCAGTCAGTCATAAACCATTATACTCCTCTGTCCTGTCATTGAAGAAATCCATTATTTTTAGTGTAATGGATTAAATAAATCATATAAAAAGGATTAAATAAATCTTTGAAATAACCACCATTAGTATAGAAATAAAACATCATGTCATGAGGATATCCAGCAGGAATAAAATAAATCCCAATCTTCCAAGTAATTTATTTATTGTGCTGTATTATTATATTACTAATACATATTTTGCTCATATTTCTATTTCAAAAAAACATACCCACAAAAAAATGAAATCATTAAAAGAGAGAAAAAACGTGCATATTACTGCAATAATAAACAACATGTTAATTAATATAACTTCACTAATCACTAGTAAAATGCATTGTTTATTGTCCAGCATATACATATCAACTCTTCTCAGACATCCACTAACTTAACAACAAAGATTGCTGAAAAATTTAACTTGTCAACCTTATACTGACAAATTTAAAAACTTACAATTAGACCATTCGTTCTCACCAAGTATATACCATCTTTGCCAAAGATTATCATTTACTGTCAGGCATACTGGAAATCACTTCCTGATTAAGCATACTATTAGTCTATTAATAATAACACGATCAATATCTTTGAATTTATCACCAAACGTAAAAGAAAAAACGATTTCCAGATAAACTATGTAAATTCCAAATGATTTCTAGAAATCAATTCAAAAAATTCCAGAAAATTTATCCCAATCATCTTTGCTTCTTTTATACTTGCCATCCCCTTGATTTCAGCACTTTTCTCGTGACCTGACTTCCCATAGTGATAATTGGAAGCATTATTTGGTTCGGAAGAGCAACTTCCATAAAATAATGCATTACCCTCAAATTTGACTAATTATTCACTGACCAATAATCAAGTTCCCCAACACTGTTACGTATAAAACTACTTTATGCCCGCAATTTGTTGTGCACTTTTTGAAGTTTTATTATACTGTAATCTATTTTCAATAGGCATACGGCACATTCATGCTGATGAACACCTTTTTCCCAACTTCTGATTTCACTTTAAAATCAGAACTGCGATTCGCTCGGAAGACTGTCCCATCACGTCAGAACTGCACCGTTGCACTCACCCCGCTTGAAGGCCCTGTCCCCACCAGGTCAGAACTGCACCGCTGCACCTAGAGTGCCTGTCCGCTCAGAGGGCCTGTCCGCTCAGAGGGCCTGTCCGCTCAGAGGGCTTGTCCCCATCAAGTCAGGACTGCATCGCTGCCCTCACCTCAACGATCGCAAATCTTGACTACATCTAACAAAGACCGCAAAATACCTGACCCGAGCCGCATTGTATTTTACAATGTCGAATTCGATGACGCCTAAAACGGTCCACGTCTATTTTGAATTGGAGCTCATTGGACGTTTGTGAAGGTGACGGGGAGGTTTGTTGTAGTGTGCTGTTCCACCGGATCCGGAACGTCATCTTCTAGGTTTTGCGTGTTAGCATTGAAGGTTGTCTGTGAGTCATGTGGCACGTATGTTCTGCGGAACATCCCTTTCCGTGTTGTCATAGCAAAGCCTGTGCATGACTAATACGACATTGTGTTATGTTAGCTGGATGTTTATCACCGTATGATGATCAGTTAGTAATTCATTATGACTCTAAAATTTATAGATTTTTACACTAAAAAAGAAAATTTTGAAGTTTGGATGTTGTACTCATTACATTATTAATCTTTTCACTGTGTTCATTTAACACGTAGAACTGCTGGCGTTTATTGGTCATATCTTGGTCACACCATTTGTCGAATATATTGTGATTTCAATTTCATCAAATTTTCTCACGGTAAAATTGAAATTACAATATATAATTGAATAGGGTGACGTAAATTTGTCTTTGTACTTTCTTCTTTTTCCTATCATCCCTTTTCATTTTTGCTTTACTCATTTTTTTGCGTATTTTTGGTTCGTATTTCTGTATTTTTTTCAGCAATAACAAATTATTTGCTTTCAAAAAAAAGCAAAATGGTGGATGTAGATCAGCTTACCAATGAAGAGATTCGAGACCAACTTATGAGACATGGTTGTGATCCTGGACCTGTCGTTGGAAGTACTAGAAATGTCTATGCAAATAAGTTACGGCGTTTGTTAGAAGGATCAGATGTTGCGGTACTATCTGAGGTATGTTCTTAAGCCAACATAAAAATTTCAATTTGTTTCTGTTATACTAGCCAGATTTCTCTGAAAAAGCTGTAGTTACCCATCGAGCATAATGTCAAATTAAAATTGCTGAATTTCTCTATTTCTGGAGTCGTTTTCTCCGTTGTGACTGCTTGTTGGGATGACTTATCTCAGTCTTTATGGACATAACTGTTTCCGAGAAATGATCGCTTTCCCTCTTTTGGCATCCACGGGCGTAATAATTTTGCATAAAAAGAATTACTTGAATCTCTTAATGAGAGTACATGTAATGGGAGGTGTAACTAGTATGATAGAAAGATAATTACTTACTGTCATCATAGCTTGGCAGTATCAAAATTACGTGACCATCAAGCATAGATGGTTTTTATATGGTCTATGACTGGATATTTCGTGATAATCAGTTTCTTAATACTTATAAATATCTGTCTTACATTATTCCAAATTCATTAAATTGATTATGGTATAAAGTCCAAATAGATAATTTTTAAATAACTGATGAATTTTACAGAGAACAGCGTCTGACGCCGCAGGAGCTGGAAATCTTAAATCTACACCAAAACGTGGAGATGTATCAAACAGTTCACAGAAGTCACGCTCACCAAGGCGCGCTACTCGTTCTTCCGCTCAAGAAATATCCAGTCTATCAAAGGTTCAAAATATACCGCTAAATTCTAAGATATCGCCTGCGTCAGTGAAAGCTGCGGATGTTTCTTCAGTGAATTCACATATAATTTCCGATTCTAAACAGTTATCACCGAAGTCGTATATTGTTCAACCATCTGTTCCTGTTCTTCCGAAATCCCGTGTAGAGCTTGAATTCGAAACTCGTACAGAAGTCAACACGGTTCCAGAATCTAACCGTTCTCCATCAAGAGCAAGTGTAACTTCTGAATCTGCATCTCTGGATGTAATTTCAAATTCTTTCAAAAAATCCACGGTCCCAGAATCTAACCGTTCTCCATCAAGAGCAAGTATAACTTCTGAAACTGCATCTCTGGATGTAATTTCAAGTTCTTTCAAAAAATCCAAACCTTTCCCATTTGAAACAGTACCGAAAGTTTACCGTACTACACCTACAACACGTTTCACATCCTTGCGAGTAAGCATAAGCCACTGAGTAATTTTCTTCCAGTTTTTTCTTTTCATGTAAAAAATGGTTTCTTTTTTTCCAAAGGTCATCGTTTTTAATTAATAGGGTTGAGATAGACTTCTTTTCATTTGAACTTTGAAGGTTAGATGTCAAAAATTTTTGCGACGGTAGAATTCATCTATGGATATCAATTTTAAAATTATGATATGACAGCGATAACTTACATCTTTTTTGCTTCTTTAATGGTTTTTACATCGTTGTAACTTAAATTGATATAATTTACAGGATAATTGGGAGAATGGAAAAATTAGCGATGGTTCAGATGATGATTTACGTGGTGAAGAAAGTTCACGTATTTTGCTGCCTAGTTGGAAAGAGGATCATACATATTCGGTTCGATATGATTCAAAACAAAACCCAGCGACACGTCGTTCTCTGGATGAGAATTCGACAGCTCACTATAGTCAAACATCACACTATAATTCAGCAGTGTTTGAAAATTCTTACAATGGATACGGAAATCGACGTAGTGGTTTGGTGGATAAGGAAAAGACATCACGAAGCTATGGAAAAATCGGTCTCTCTTTTCTTTTCATTATCACAACTATTATTTTTGTGTTCTTCGTCGTACAGAACTATGTCGAACTAGAACGTGGTGAAGGTAACAAGGAAGAATTTTAAGTTTTTTCTTAAATGCAATGTGTAGTGTTTTTATAGATTTTTTGAAACACTTTTGGACACATCTGCATTTGTCTGACAATTATACAGTGGCTTTTGAACAAGAATTTTCTGAAGATTTCAGAGTTTTCATTCAGTTTTCAATTGTGAAACTTATCTTCCTAAATGTATTGTTTTATTTCCATGTTTGATTTTTAATTCGCTTTAGATCTTTTTTTTGCTGTTGCTTTTTGTTTTTAAAGTTTAAAGTTTGTGTTTTAAATTTTCAAACTTACGAAATTAAGCTTATTCAGCGACGAAATTTGTAGTTGCATTTTGCCACAGACAAGTTCATTCTTTGCTCTTTCCTTTTAAGACACTTAGATCTAGCTTTGAATTTCTCCTGATAGTTTTTAATTGTAACTTAGGTTCTGCATCATGTTGAGTATTAACTCTAGAATGCAAACACATTCCGAAATTTGTTCTGTTTGCATTTTGTAAAATTATTGATTTTGTCTTGGTGATATAGCGTACGCCTTTTTTGGTTGCTTCACAATTTGGTTTTATTTTGCCATTTTGCATTTCTTTGAGGATTTATTCAGGGTTGATATGGGCTTGTTTTTTTACCAGCTTTTTATCATTTATTTTTCTGCACTCGATTATTATGTCTCGATGAAAGATCGGAAATTTCATTCAGTTATAAATTTTATTATTTGGCATGGATGACGTATGTGAATTTGTTGCATGTTGCTACATTTTGTTTTAGATTTGGATGATCAGTTTAGATATTATGAAGTTGTTGAGTATGTCTATTAAAGTATGTTTTCTGTTTTCTGTAAACAAGCATATGGGTTCTCATGCATCTCAAATTCCGATGTTCTGCTGCTTTAGCACTGCTCAAAAATTCCGATTCAAACTTCACGGGGTTTTATTTGGCACCTTTGTTTTCGAGTTTTCTGAAAAAGACTATAGTATTGTTTTACGGGAGAATGAGCGGGGTTATTTGAACCAGCTGTTAGTGTTTGAATGGAGCTAATAAGGTGGATAACAGATAATGAAATGTATGCAAGGAGGGTCTTGAAACTTTTGGATATTTCCAAAACAGTAGATAGGAAATCGGATTTGGTTGTGGAAGTTATTTTAAGAAGAAAATTGAAAAGAAAGAAGTGTGGGAGGTTTTGTGAGTGTAGATTTATACATATTCTTCGCAAGAAATGACCTGATTGTTTAAAAACAGAAGAATAAGTTTCTTCATTGCTTTTTGGTGTGTTCAACTCGAAAAGTGATTTCTAATTATCTAAATTTGTAATTTTTGCAAAAGGTTGGTTGAAAAGACTGAAATAAGATTGTGTATGGTTGCATATGATGAATTAGGTGAGGCGTGACTTCATTTTCAAACTGATAGCTAATTATGTGCTGGCATTAAACAGGCAAATGCATAATAGGAACTCCGTTGACGATGTCCTTGCGATATTTCACAAGCTTTGGACGATATTTTCAAGTAAATATAAACTTGAGCTTGATACGGACTGTAAGGAATGAATAAGGTTTGGAAGAGCCTAACTGGCAGTCTACATTAAGAGTTCGGTGCTTGTTGTGCATTTTACACCTTCGGTTTCATTGCAAAATTCAGAAATCTGAATGTGTGGAAAACCATTTTGGACAGCATTACTTTGACGTTATTGTATGGTCATCTTAAAAATAGTTTGCTTATTGCGGGTTAAAATTAAAACAGGTTGTACATACACTCTTCTGTTATCTATCAGTATTCTAGTGATTGACACTGCATCACGTTACCATACCAACACGATGAGTTGTTCATCGTGTCTGTTTTACGCAGCATACGTCCAGACGAACATACTTGGTATTTTCGCTACATTGTTGCATGTAACTTTGCTCTGTTTATACATCTAAAAGCTAAATTATCAGCTGAAGAGAACATTTGTTCGTGGAAATTCCGGAATATTTTAAATAATAAAATCCTGAAATCATTTGAAAAAATATATGACCACACTGATTTGATGTTTCGGACGTGTTATGATGGATGTAGTCAAAAAAATGGGATATTTAATTGGATATGGTCTACGTTTGGAATATTTGAGGGCGAAACAATGGGATCAATTTATCTATCATTTGCTATTTACAGTTGATTGAGTCGCAAGTTGCAGCATTGAAAGCTATTTCAGAGGCGAAGAATGCTTAGCTAAAAGTTTGATTAGCTACGACACGAATATATACACACATACATCGTGGATTGGATGGACACTGAGAGGACAGCAGACGAATTTTTAAAGTATGTTCAAGTGTCTCTTTTCGCTTAGCTTGCTAGCATGTTTTGCTGGGTAGAATGACGGGCGGCAGTCATCATTGGTGCTGCCTGCTTTTGCCATCATCAATGCATGCATGCATGCGTCTATATATATATGTACATGTGTGTATGTGTGTTGTAGCATGGGCAGACGAATATGTGGAGGAAGCGTTGCGGTTTATATCAGATGCTAATGCTTACAGTGATTGAAGAAGGTACGGTTATGGTGGTGGTGTAGCAGCGAGGTGTAATGCATGACTCAATGGACTCGGAGGAGCCCGACCTGGCTTGCATTGACTTAGTTTGTTGACCAGGCCAAGCATGGAAGATTTCTCTGTGGCAGCATTCTCCGGAAATAGGCATTCTCTTCAAATATCTGCTTGTCTTTCCTCACTTCTCTCCCCTTCTCTCGGAACATCCCAAGCAAACGCTGTGTTTACTTCTTACTGTTCTAAGAATACTAACATTCCGTTCCTTTCCGTATATTTTTCCCTTCCCTTTCCTCTTCCTTGACAACAACCCTTAAAGTTCCGACTAAAAAGAAAGAGAGAAAAGCAGATATGAGAAATGGATGAAGCTTTGAATGATCGCATTCGAGAATGGCAAACTGATGCACGTTATCCTGGAAAAGTGCATGTGGTGCAAATAGCTTGCAGACATACAAACGAGTGAATGCGAGAGAGACTTGTTGTCTGCAAAATTTCTTAGCAAGGTTGACAGGCTCCAATAGATATTACTTCTATCCGCTTCAGCTTTATTTCTAGCATGCCAGACATGCGTGCATGCATATAACTTCTTTGAGAACAGCTTGCAAGAAATAATATCCAGACACACATACCTCCCTATATATATATAAGTATATATTATGCATATATATAATATATAATATATATAGATGTATATGCGTGTATGTGTGTATGCACATGTGTGCGATGTGTGTTTCAGTATGTGTGTATGTATATTGCGGTGTTGTGGAGGATGCGAAAAGGAAAGTAAGTGTATGATGAAGTTTCGGACGTTCGGTTGGATGTGGAGGAGGTCCACTTACCAGTAGGCCACGTGTCTCACCAGTCGTGTCGTATTTGTCCTCTCTTTAAGGATTCCCGATCCTTCTCCATCTATCCCGACTATGCTATTCCCTCCTTCCTCACTTTTGCTATTATCTCACATACACACACAGACGCACACATACATGATACACCAATTTTTCTATCAATGCCTGTTCATCATTGACGTCGTCGTCGGCGTATGTTGTCGCCGCCGCCGTCCTCTGTCGACATTTTGACTAACAAGAAGATATAAGTTCAGGATGGCAATTCCATGTTTGTGTATGCATGCGAGTTGTATGTAGCGTGTCTGTGTGTGTGCGTGTCGAAATGTGTGCACTGCTCTATTTCCACTCCGTTACCGTCAAAGCGTTCAGCGTGCTTCTTTATTTTCATTTTCTTTTGTTTGTATACTTTCCACGCTATTGTTATGATGCTTCTTCATGTTAGCGTTCAATAAGTACGTTGTCGTTATTCAATTTCACATATCTATTCCTATACTTATGGTTTGTTACCCCATCTAACTGGCCGAATCGTTGACGTTGAAGTTTGCAGGTGTTCACTAATATTGCCTGAAGTATATCGTGTTATTTTGTTAGAGCTTCCTTTATACTGGAAAACATTTCGGAATCATATTACTGATTGTTCGGAATCATTTATTATTCTTGATTTTAATGAGACACTGTTCACGTATTACTCCAACGTGGAATACATTTTTGATAATGTTGCTCTTATTTGATTTTATGTTCATTTTCGGTATCGCTTTTCATTAATGGAGCCACGAAAATACAGGTATAATTCATTGAGTCCACTTAATTTCATTTTAGGTTCACGATTGGCAAAGAGGCGCAGTCTTTGATTTTGGAATTGTTACTTTCCCTGTCTTCTTTGATGTGGACCGCCGGGCCGTCATCGCTTCTAACGAATATTAGCGAAATTCCGGAAAACTGTTGCAACAACTAAAAACTTGATTTTGTTATTATGCGCTGATTTGGTTTGTAGATTTCATTTACTTACTTGTTAACTGAAAATGAAAACAAAAGGAGTGATATTTCGTTTGGAGAAGAAATTCAATTTTCAATTTCACAACATAAAGGAGGAAAAAAACTTTTTAACTCGTAAATTATTAAGATTTTTGATAAACATGGGACATCCTAACTATCATAAACAACAATAAAAAAAATTAGATAGAAAATTTACTTTGAAAACTTTTAAAACTATATTGTAGTTTGCAACGGTTATAATTGATCATTTTTCTTAATTTTATGACATCGTGTTTTTTCTGATTTTTGCATTAAAAGATAGTAAGAAAGGAAAAAATGATGGATATATCTTATTTATAATATTTTGGATGCAAAATTTGATGGATATTGAGGATTCACCAGTGTTTGATGTTCAAAAATTTAACGTTTCCTTATATTACCAGGTTATCCAAATTAAAATTTGAAGATTTTTCTTTCTGATCAATGAAGATATTTCCTTTTTTAAGCTGTCGATTTCCTGTTTTGCTATTTGTGCTACTTTTCCTCGCTATTCCGTTTTCCACTGCTATTTGCTTCACTTTTGCTGCGATTTTGCTGTTGTATTAATTTCACTAATAATTTTATTATTTTGCTGATTGGCGACTTGCTGAGTGCGCGTCACTGTAGCCGTACGTGGTACTCGGTATTTCACGCGACGATTACGCAAAACCGGCAAAACTGTTCATTTTACGGGCAGCCAAAACGGCCCCGATGGCCTGCTGCCTTTCCGAGGAGGCAAGGGAGCAGAAACGTATAAATCAAGAAATCGAAAAGCAATTGCAACGTGATAAACGCAATGCCCGGCGTGAACTCAAACTTCTGTTACTCGGTAAGTTTTGCGCTATTCTTATCCTTTATTCTTATCCCTTTTTTCTTCATATTTTTGTCATTCAGGTTTGATCACACTCAATTTATCTTTTTCTTACGTTGTAGAAAACCAAAAATGAGGCAATAAAATGAAAAAAATAAATACAGCTCGAATTTTAGGATTGCGTAGTTTGGAAAAAAGCGGTAGTAGGAAATGGCATCATTTTTTTGTGGCTTACTAGATAAAGTTTGGATTATTAGCCTAACTCGGAGGCATTAGTTCACGAAGTTGTTTCATAGTTATTTCATCAGGCAGTGTTACTTCTAATGGTTATTTAACACTCACAAGCAATTGCTGCTGCGCGTAAATTTGCAAAGTTTATCTTAAAAAATTATTGAAAGTCAGTTTTAGCTAACAAGACGCAGCGCAGCAAAAATTTTGTTGTTGCAATGAAAGTAATCTTTTTAAGATATAGTGCCATTTAGAGGTCGATCTGCCTTGTGTTTCGATTTAAAGTGAAATTTTAAATTATCAACTATGTTTAATATTTTGTAGGATTCCCAATAAATTTTAAATTTTTAATAGTTGCAAGTCAGACTTTTTTTGCACTGGACTTTTTGAATTGTTGGCCGAGTTTTTGAAAGGTTTTTGATCGAGATTTTTTAAATATTATTTAGTGGATGGTGACTGTTAATTTCTTCAAAGTTGAATGTTTCACAGTTTCGAAGAGAAGTTAAACATTTGTCTTGATTGTTATCTCTTTCTCTATATTATCATCCTTAGTCCCAAGCTTAGGATCTCACTTACTATTAAGATCCTAAGCTTGGAATTGAAGATGATAATATAAAGTGATGTTCTAAGCTGTATAGCACATATTTTGATAAAGCAAATCACTATAACTTTTTATCTCTTGAAAAGCTTGTTTGACAAATTGATAAAGCTTTTCTTCTACATCTGTCGATTACAATTATATAGCTCAAAAAAATCAGTCAATAAGTTCTTTGTGAGTAGTTTGTGCTTTTAATTGATTGCAGCATTTTTGATGCACAGTTCTAGAGGTATTTTATTTTTGTTAAATTGTTATAATCCTTCCTTCATTTGTTTTGAAATTTTAAATAACGTTTATCTTGCAATAAAGTAGAAATTAGGGTTTTAAGAATTGGTTTGATTTTCATCATTTCGTTGCATGCGTTCTTTGAATTCTATTCTGACCGTCATTCTAACTACATTCTCCAAAAAGCAGATATTGTCTTCTAGAACTTTGCTGCTTTGCTTGATAATTTTTGTTGAATACTGAACACTATTTTCTAGCGCATTAATTATAAGTGCAAATTGGAATTATTTAACTCTCGAGATAAAAAGATAAAGTTTGGTTGAAGAGTCACAATAAGGGCGATTTATTATAGCAAGAGGACAGGAAGTTATGACACGAGACAAGATTAGTTTGTTTCTTGTTTCTTAAGTTAATTTGCAACTGTTTTAATAATCTTCAAAATATTGAAATTTGCCAGTTTGCCAGTTCTTATAATGGATGATATATTAACAAGAATTTCAGTTTGTTATTTTCCTTAATAGACATGGTCTCTGCTTTCAAATTTCCAGCAGCTTTTGTTTAAAATTTGCTTATAAGAATAATTCAAATATTTTGAACGTATAGACAGTAAATTTGATATTCCATTTCCACGATTTTAAAGAGTCCTATATTCACGAACTAATGTATGATCATATTTCCCGCTTAAAATCGTTGCATATGCTTATATTTTCACGCAACTTTTCATCTAAATGATGGCCGTTTGCAAGCAGATGTTTTCTCTTGAATTTATTTAAGATTGATATGTAATGTAGAACTTTTTTATTTTCGAAATATTCCATCTTTGATTCAGAAAAATAGAATATACACATTGGTAGTTTTTTAACGGTTTTAACTATCAAATTTTGAAAAACTACGAAAATCTATGGTTGAGGGTAAATATTGAAATAGTAAATATTTTTTGAAATCATATTCCTAGAAGTCATTACCGTTTTTCTGCAGATACATTTTTAACTAATGAGTAGCTGAAAGAGAATGGATAAGATCACAGAGATATTTGTGGTCGATAATGGGATAATTTTAAATATTTATCGCCATTTTCGTTAGTGAGTTGATTTCTTTAGTAAACTGTAACTTAGCTCTATCACAAAAATATGAAGTTTCCTCCCGTACTTTTTTCGTTCACTATATTACTTAGGTTATATTTTTTACTTTAGAGAAAATAAATGTAAAGATGAGGGGATCTCCAACTTTCCAACTAAGCATCAGTCATTTATTGGATCAGATAAATTATATATCAACAATTTACTATATGACGTTATTATATTGTCTCATTGCTCTCATGTTGGCATTCGTTATTGTCGCAAATCACAAAATGACCAGGCTGAATTTGATAAAGTATGGAAGATAGCAAATTAGAATTCTCATGATATTTTGTTTACCGTTATATGACATCAACGTATCTTCATTGTTATTATTCTTTCTATTTTTCATGCGCCGCATTAAGAATAAGTATTTGAACAAAATATCGAAAAATATATCATTGCGAATAAATATGCTAATTTTGATCCCTATTATGAAATATTTTTTCGTGACATTTTGTCAAATTATTTTTCATGTACATTCGCTGTTTAATATAGAGTTAAGAGATCGATGGTTAAATTTATCATAATAGTAAGTTATATTTTAGATTTAGTCAAGGTCGTACTAGTATGATTTGAATTTTTAGAAATTAATTTATCAGACATATATGATCACAATACTGCTATCAATACTTCTTTGCATCTGAAGCGTTTACGCTAGTGTGCGCAATGGTGTGGCAAACGAAATATAGAATAAAAAACAGTTATTAGATTGAGAAGCATAACTTCATCACATAATTTCGGATACTGCTGTGTATGTCCGTTCAAATAATTATCAATCCTTACAATGTGATGATTGTTCACAGTTTCCATTTTCGTTACGGGGAACTCATTTGTTATGTTGGTCAGTTATGTTTTTAATTTATATCGCGTTTTTTTTAAAAACATTTTAAGCTTTATTTTTATTGACAGATTTACTTGCGTTTAGTTTTTCATAAAGTTTGGAACAAGATGATACTGTTTTTATGAAATGTTTTAATTTAGAAAAATCAGTTGAGAATTTAGTATCACAAGAGAATAGACGATATAGAATTAGCACTTCCAAATGCTGCTGATAAGCAAACAAATGGGTCATTTTGAGAACTTAATATGCGTATGATTCAGGTTATTAACTTAACAAACATCATATAATTATATCTATAGAAATGATAAAACTCTTCGATATTTATTTACTATTATTTGTAGGAAAGAAAGTCTGTTTGTGTACGTGTATATAATGAAGTTTTGATAAGTTGTAGTTCTGAAATTAATTATGGAATGGGAGCGAATAAGTTGAAGGATCGTTAATGAATGCAGGTGTTGTTAAACGAGTAAAACAGTTCATTTTTTTCATCAATCAAAATTTCTGCCAAAGATAAGAAGTGGAGAGAAGAAAGAATTAAATAGACGCTGTGAGTGGTAAAAAAAGGTAACGGGATCGAGTAATAAAAGAGAAAGGGAAAGAAAAAGAAAACTTTGTTCCGGATAAGTGTACATCACTTGGATAATTTCATTTTATTGCTGTTATGCAAGAAGCGAATTTATTCCACTCCAATAGCTGTACTTACGGACGTAACTTAGATAATTCTATATCGTCAGGTCGACATAGTTGGTAGGAATACGCTGTTTAATCTCCAACATTTTCTAATTATTGGAAGATATAAAGTATTAACCTGATAATAAATTTTGAATAAAATGGATGTGATGGGTGACCATGTCATTGGTGTATTTGTTGTAATCTTCATTCGATCGAGGTAAACAGTTGAAATACTTTCTATTAGTTTCATCTCTCTATTAATTAATCTGCAATTATCAGAGGCTTTATAGCTTTTTCGTCTTAACGACTCATAATTTCATCTAAATATTTATCTGTTCCTGCTTTGGTAATTGTACGAAAACAAAATTACTACATTATGACAGATATAGACATAGGCAACAGCTCAAATGAATTTATTCATAGCTGTTTTGAAATTTGAAAAGCTGTTTCGAATCGAGTCTATTTTTCATGTAAAACATTCAGATATATTTCGCTGTGTTGGGAAGAAAACTAATCACTAGTTTAGGACTATTGCAGTAAAAGAGAATTTACATTGTTTTGTAAAAGTAATGTGAGATATGAGAAAAATTTCGCATCCATTGAATTTTATAAGATTAACATGAGTTATGAAATTTGGTGGTTCCTTGACATCTTTTTTTCTTTCTTGCAGTGATAGCATATGCTTCTCTTTTGCTTTTTTTAGATCATTAAGAGTAAATACCATTAAGAGTAAATTTTCTTATTCTATTGCTCCTGCACTTCTTTCTGTTTGTCTTTTTCTTTTTTTGTATTATGCTTCTCTTTTTGCTTTTTTTAGATCTTATTATGGCATTATCAAGTTCTTTGAGAAAAAAAAGTTTATGATTTTATTCGATTGTTCGCATATTGACTTTAGCAAATGTCGCATTATCCGCCTTCGGGAAATGAAAATTGCTTGTCTTGTATTCCATTCTCAGTGTCTACGTTGTGTCATTCGTAGTTAAAAAGTTTGGATCCTACAACATTGTATGTTATTATTCGGCTAATCCAAGTGAGCTCAATACATTCCGTAACATACTGTTATCATTTTTTTCTTCTATAAAAATTCTTATTTAATTAATTTTATCCTATTACTAAGCTTCTTCTCTTTCTTCAAAATTTCGTTTTTTGTTATGCTTCAAAACAAAAAGATCTTTTCCTTTTCCTTCCAGATATTTTCATATTTGTGTCTCTGTGTATGGATTAGCTAGAAAAGCGACAGTTATTTTGGTGAATACATTAAAAAATATAATGTTGTGTGAGGGAAAAGGAAGGATTGCCATGTCTGAATTTTATTCTAGATAAAAATTTCATCACTCCCTGGATTCAAACGTAATCCTGAAAATGAAACGATATCTTTTTTTACTACCAATCTTTTGAAGAGAGTTATCGAAAAAAAATCAGGGACGTATTTGCCCCAAAGTGAGAACTTCCACTTCCAAGTTTTTTTGATAAATCTTTGGGACTTATTTACATATGAATGTCTGAATTACTGGGTGTATGGCTTTTGTTGAAGTCATCAGCAGTCTGTGGAA